AAAAAAAAAAAGGTTGGGAACCACTGCACTGGAAACTTCTGATCTGCTGAATTGCTGCGACTGCTGTTGTTGCTGCTTTACAATTTTTTGAATGTTTTCTTCTTTTTTTAGAAATTAACCCCAACAATCAGGTCATTGCAGGTGAATCCCATCCTGATATCGAGCACTTTGGGGGGCCCTTCCTGAGGGGAGAGCCCAAGGACCGCACCAAAGAGGGTCCTGGGTACCTTGGCGAGATTTTTCCGGAAGCCAATCCAAGAGCGCTAAAAGTTATTAAAATCAAATAATCTCACCAGGCGAAAGGAGTCCAGCGACCGAGGCGTTTATTTGCGATTCAGCTGAATGGATGCAATACAGGGATCATTCCACTGCAGAGCATGCAGCACAAGAGTTTACAGGCATTTTTATACATTGAAGAACAAAGAAAAGCAGTTTGAAAATCCCGCCCGCCCCCCTGTCAGCCGGCTTCATGCTGATTGGCTGAGGCTGGAACAGCTGGGAGGAGGTAATCCCGCCCTCCTCCGTCAGGAGCCAATGGGAGCGGTTCTCCGCCTCGGGAGGGCCAATGGGCGCCCTCCGCTTGCTTCCTGGGTCCTGGCCAATCAGGAGCCAGGAGGCGGGACAGCCATGGTCAATGGGGGGGAGAGATGATGGGATTTGGGATTTCCTGCCCGCTGGAATGCGGGCCATTGTCCCAGGTGATGTTTGTCAAACAAAGGCTTTCCTGTCCTTAATGGGTCTGGCAAGTGATATGAATAGCTGGGTCGAAATCGGACCGCCCGGAGGATCAACAATTCCTGAGTGGATCAATCAGTCTTTTATTCCAAGGCTCTGCTGACCCTGCCCTCCTTCGTTGGCCCTGCTCCGAAGACGAAATTGGGGGGCCAGCAGCATTGTCCATGCAAAATGAGTCAATCAAGGGTGATTTAGGGGAAAAAGGCTTGGGCTTTTTCCCCCAGGCAGTTCCTGGTCACGCTGGTCTTCTTTGTGGGGCAAGGGGACAAAGAGGAAAAGATGCAGTGGAGTTCATAGGGGTACATATTTCATATCCATAAAGTACAGGCATTTCATACACCACAACCCACCACCCATCCCAATCCCCTTCCATAGGAAAGTATTTTATTTTATTTCATTTCATAAAAAAGGTAAAGAAAGTCTAGAAATCCCAAAAGCCTAGACGGAGGGTTTTCTGGAGGCAGGGGCCAAGCCTATGGCTTAGGCTGGCCATCAGAAGATCAGTTCATTATTGAAACAGGAGCTGGAGCTAAGGGGGAGCTATGTTCCGCTGTCCTGTCCTTGGTGGAACTAGCGCTCCCAACCGGGGATCGGGCCTTCCCTGCCCGGTCCCCACTTCCAAGGCTTCTCCTGGGGCAATCGTGGCGGATCGCAGGCGGCGGGAACCATGCTGGAGCGAGGAGCGACGGGGGAATGAAGCAAGCGGCAAAAGCCGGCGAATTTTGACAATCAGCTGGTGGCTCGGCCGAATTTTAATGATTAAACAAAAACAATTATTTCATGAGTGCAGGAGTCCAAAATGAGAAAACCAAGATAGCAGTTAGTCTTAGAAGTTAATGTAGAGGAAAATCTCCGTATCCACGATTTGAACTAACGCAAATTCGGAGGCCTGGGGAGGCCAGGAAGGCGTCCCCAGTGAGCTCATGGTCCCCCGGAGCTCAGAAAAAGGTTTATTGTGAGTTAGAAAAGTTGCAGCCAGGAAAAGGACACAAAGTATCAAGCGGAAAGGATTCAAAGTTTCAAAACTTAAGTGTTTTAATGGGGGATTGGTTACAAAGAGAGGGAGAGGGGAAAGTGAAAGAAAGGCTTCATGCAGTCCTTTGCCTTGAGCTGCTGGCTGGGGCACATTTCATCAGTCGGACCCAACTTTGCTCCACGGAACTGCGGAACTCCCTGCCGCAGTGCAGACCAATTACATGGCGGGGGCTCTCGCCATCAATCCCTTCTCCTTCTCTGGATCCTCAAAACTATTCTCCATCCTGGGCCCTTCCCACAATCAATTTTTGCTGCTCTCTCCTCTTTGTACTTCAATAAGGCTCCAATCTGTGTTTTCAAGCATAGCTCACCTCCAGCAGGTGGGGAACACAGAGCTGTCTTTTCCCCAGAGAAGCATTTACGACTTCTCCCTTGAGCCTAATGCCCAAATGGGGACCTTGAGTTCCTTTACAGCATTGTCTTAATAGCCTTGGCTCCTAGGCTGTGTGAAAAGCCAATTAAATGGGCGGCAACAGCAGGTTTCTAAAAGCAAGCCCTTACCAAAAGAAAATCATGCCTCTCTTCCAGCTGTAAGTTATTGTAAGGCACACCATTAACATGCCGGTTGACAGCCAGCGGAATTAGCAATGCAAGTAGCTTAAAAATAGATAGGCATGGTGATTATTACTGTTTCTCGCTTGCTTCATCTGTTGGAGCTCGGGGTGCTAAAGCCGAAAGCTTATTTTTGTTTTGTGTCTATGACAGTCTCTTAACACAGATGTAACCATGGGGAAGTTCACGTCCCCATTCTGAAACACATTGGATGTCTTTCTCTTGAGATATAGTATGGCCCCTGTATCTGTGGTCCGTTATCTGTGGTTTCTACGTCAGACGTCCTCCATTGCAATTGGATTTACTATTATCAAGGGTTTAATATATCCAAACAAAGTCTGGGATTGTATCTCCCGTGGATATGGGAGTTATTTCCTTATATAAGTCAAAGTCTGTCTGCCTGAACCACAAAAGCTATTGCTAGATGAAGTGTCCCTCTGTGATGCCACTGGATTGGCTGTTGCTTGGTGAAGGATCCTTCTGTGATTTTACTTGGAAAGAAAGGTGACATGTGTATGAGAGGAACGGAGGAAGTTGCCGGAGGCACTGTGACACGGAAAAGGGAGAAAGTAAGCAGTCCCAATGATGAGTAGTGGAAAATTAACACGCAAAAATACTGTGGGACTTTCGAATCCAGACTGACGAAGTTTTGGAACACAATACACCAAACATCACGATTGTGGAAAATAAAAAAGTTTGGATTATTGATGTCACCTTACCAAGTGACAGTGCATTGACGAAAGACAACAGGATAACTCAGCCGTTATCAAGACCTCAAAATCGAACTGCAAAGACTCTGGCATAAATCAGTACAGGTGGTCACAGTGGTCGTCAGCACACTGGATGCCGTGCCAAAAGATCTCAGCCAGAATTTGGAAACAATAAACATTGACAAAAGCACAATCTGTCAACTGCAAAAGGCCACCTTACTTGGATCTGCACGCATCATTCAAAAATACATCACACAGTCCTAAACGCTTGGGAAGTGTTCCACTTGTGATTTTGTGATATGAAATCCAGCATATATATCTCGTTTGCTGTGTCATACTGTGTTTTTTTGTCAGCAAAATATAATAATAATAATAATAATAATAATAATAATAATAATAATAACTTCTCACCCACCTCTTTGCACAGCTCAAGGTAGGACATGACATAGTTAAAATGCACCATCCTAAAAATGGTATTCATTAGTACTATATTTAGCGGGCCCCTCAGTACCATCTTTTTGGGAGAATCAAGAAAGCTTGGGGAATAAAGACATCTCTCAGAAATGACCAACACAACCAAACCATAGCATTTTCAAACCAGGAACAGATTTTTTTTCAAATTTTATTATATAGTGTAATCTATGGCTACCAAGCGCCAACTATTAATTTCTTTTGCATAGTGATCAGTGCTCTTTAGTTTTTACCCAATTTGGGATCCTAGATGTGAGTTACAACTCCAATCATTTTAGAATAATTATCTGCCATGGGGACTGAGGATAAGGGGCGCTGCAACCCAACAGCCCTTGTGACCCTGAGGTTGGGGAATGGCTAGAGCAGGCATGGGCAAACTCTGGCTGTCCAGGTGTTTTGGACTTCAACTCCCACAATTCCTAATAGCCAGTAGGCTGTTAGGAATTGTGGGAGTTGAAGTCCAAAACACCTGGACGGCCAAAGTTTGCCCATGCCTGGGCTAGAGGCTATTTTAAAGCTAGGCATCTCATCGATGAGCCTTGTATCTCAATTTTAAAAAACCCTCTCTTGTCTAAACAGAACAAACCGCAGCCTTCCCGATGTGACAGTATCCCAACTCCAATAGCTTTGGTCACGATATCTAATGATGATGAACATGGGAGTTGTAGTCCAGCATCTGGAAGGCCACATAAAAGGGGCCTTGAATTTGACATATATGGTGTAAATTATCTTTATTCATTCTGGTTGTGTGGTCTTTTTTTCATTTCAAATGGATTTCAGTTTCCGAGCTGTGAGAGGTTGTATGAAGGAATACTGACGGCAACCCCCTCGACATGTAAATATCACTCTTCGGAAGCATGATTCAGGTGCTTTTCCTATGGAGTGGGCGAATAAGACAGAAACAACAAAGCTGGGATTTATGCCAACGGACCATATGGGGCAGTCAGTGTATGTTGGAAGGGACAGTGGCGAGAGATGGCATGGGTTGCTGTGAGTTTTTCGAGCTGTCTGACCATGTTCCAGAAGCATTCTCTCCTGACATTTCATGCACATCTATGGCAGGCATCCTCAGAGGTTCTGAGGTCTGTTGGAAACTAGGCAAGTGGGGTTTCTTTATCTGTGGAATAATGTCCAGGGTGGGAGAAAGAACTCTTGCCTGTTGGAGTCAAGTGGGAATGTTGCAATTGGCCACCTTGATTAGAGCTGAATAGCCTGGCTGCTTCCTGCCTGGGGAAATCCTTTATTGGCAAGGCTTGAAATTTGCATCTCTCTGAGTGATCAGTTAATGGCTACTATTCATTATAGCAAATGAACTTCCACGCTTTCACAATTTAGAAGTCTTCACTTGCAGTTTTTCCCCTAAACAAGAGACCCAGTTTCAATTTGTGATCTGAAACCCCTAAAAAAAATCCAGAGATGTCACTGTTAGCCAATTTGTCCTCATTGATTTTTTCAGTGCAGCTTTACCCACCATTCTTCATCAGGCACAACACTTGGTTGCTTTGGTAACCCAGGATCACAATTTTTAATGATTTCTTCACATTGGCTTTATACAAGAATCAAGATAGCATGTATCAACAAGACATTTAAGTTGTCATTTAAAAAAAACCTGTACGTTTACATCAACAGAATTAAAATGAAATATAAATCTTCTCTACTTACAATCATTCTATACATCTCATCAGAATCAAAATCACACAATATAAACATTTTAGTTGTTAATAATGTAATGATACGGGGGGGGGGGGAAATCTTTAGAAAACTCTTTTTGTCTTAGGGTTGAATCTTATCATGAATGAAAATCAGCTGTGTGGGAGGAGGTCAAGGGGACATGACTAAGGCACCAACAGTACAAAGCAAATACAAAAGCAAAACAGTATTTTCGTAGGAGTGCTCTACACCGAAACACCACAAGAAAAGGCAACAAGATTAAGTAAGCCTTCTGCTGTCTTACAGAGTTGATTTTGGGGATCCAAAGGTCCCTTCGGTTGTTGTATTTCTCCCAGGATACTGTTTCAAGCTCTGATTATATATCGGAGGCAGTAACATCGGTTACAAAGATGGACAATTACTAAGGGGCACTTGGAAGAACTCCAATCGCAGCAGGGCCTTTTAGTGTTTTTTTCAGTTAAAGCAGAAATTATTTCAAAGTTGTGTGAAAAAGGATTTTCTTGGGCGCCAAACTACAGACAGCTACAAACATATTTTCCCAGCAAACCTGGGACAATTTCAAAATTTTGCTTTAAAAACATAGAAATACAATGCAAGGGTCTAAAACAGTGCATGTAGGTATGCCACATTACTTTAAAAACAGATGTGCTCTGTTGCTTTGATTTTAAGGCATACATTTCCCCGCATATAAGCATCTCTAAAAATGGAGTGTGCCTTAGAATTCTTATATATAAAGAAAGCTCCCCCCCCCCCCAAATTGGTAGTAACTGAAATGAGTAGGCAACTTAGAATAGAAGAAATAAGGTATCCATCGCTGGAGTAATCCTGTCGAATGTACACAAACCAGTTGATGCTCCAGAATTGGAAACCCTCACTGGCATTGCTTGGTTAGGACATTATAAATATGCCACTGCACAGGAGATGGCAAGGGGTGGGTATGTGTTATGGGTTACTGATATGGCATCAGGTCTGAAGTTGCCACCTCCGCTTTAGAAGGAGCTCCCTGCTAACCATGTTGGAAAATCATTGCAAGTCCTATGCAAGTACACTAGGGCAGAAAAACCAAAGATTTCAATCTTCATAAAGCAAGTATTACCTACCTACCTACCTACCTATATGCCAAAGTATGTGTGTATGTTTGTTGTTTGGATGTTTGTCCCATGAAGGCTCACCCACAGATCTGGACCAAACTTGGCACACAGACCCTTCCTGATCCAATTTAATATAATTGAGGGATCTGAACTAAAAGAACTACCCCTTTCAGACTCAGAGCAGGAGGAAAGGAAAGGAACCAAGCAGATTGGCATTGACTAGGGGAAGGATTGGCTATGGCAAGGTGGTGTCCCTCTGTGATGTCACTGGGGAAGAAGGGAGGTGAAGCGGATTGGCTGCTGATAGGTGACATGTGTATGAGGGAGGGAAGAAAGAAAGAAAGAAAGAAAGAAAGAAAGAAAGAAAGAAAGAAAGAAAGAGAGAGAAAGGAAGGGAAAATAAAGGGGGGAAGAAAGAAAAAGGAGGGGAGGAACTTTGCCATGGAGACATTGCGAGGTGGTCCTTCTCAGAGCTGAAGGGAGAAAGTAGCAGACATCCCAATGACAGGCGTCGCCAAGAATATATGCTAGGATTTAAATATTCTATAGCTGATACCACCAGCATCCACTTGCCAAAATCCCCTTGGAGCTCTCAAGTCTCACCTGGGTATTCAAGTTCAAGTTCACTTTATTAGAGTCAATGACCAGCTCACCTGGGTATTTAAATATAATGATTTCCTAGAAACATGCATTGCAAGGCTTCTTATGAGTAGCTTGAGGGGGAAAAAATGGGCTTCAAAAGCAAAGCTCAGTGCAACAAAATCAGGAAAGTTACTTACACTGCTATACATTGGAGGATCTTCTGTTTAAGGCTGGAATGTTTTGTCATCTTATAACGCTTACAGATTATGGGAATTCAGTGGAGGAGGTGCACCAAGTTGACCTGAATGAATAATACGATAGGGATTGTCTCAAAAGCTAAAGGAGAAGTCATCCCAAGAATAGTGACTAGTAACTCTGCACATGATCCATTCAATTCACAGTCCCAACACAGGACATTCTCAGATTAAGATGCAATATAATTGCATGCCACATTGGTGGTCTCCTTTCTCTGGAGATTTTGAAACAGAGGCTGGATGGCCATCTGTTGGGAGTGCTTTGATTATGTGTTCCTGGATGGCAGGATGGGGTTGGACTGGATAGCCCTTGGGTCTATTCCAACTTTAGGGTTCTAACACTGATAGCCATTACTTCAAAATTGTCTTTGAAATCATATCAAGAATAGTTGCATAAAGGTAGACAAAAGTGCTAAGGAAAAGGAAGCCCTTATGTTAATTAAACATTTTATAAGTATTACCTTTGAAATGATCTCCTGTTCTGCCAAAATGAAAAACCTACCAAATGTGAAAATCTGAGCTCAATCCCATCCAGTGATTTCATAAAGCATTGCGAACCGCCGTCTGTTTGCACAGACATCACGCCTCAGAGAACTCTCTAGGACATGAATGCGAGGAGACTAAACAAAACAATAAAAAAACAGCCTCAATAAAACTTGCTCTATTATGTTGCCGCCGTTAATGAGGCTAATCAGGTCGAGGCTGCAATGATCACGTAAAGCCTCGGGCAACATTCAATCCAAACCCAACTTGGCGTTTTTGGAAAGAGATGTTGCCTAGATACTGAGCTGCGTAGGAAGATACTGTGACCAAAAGCATTTTTGACGCAAGGACAGTCCAAGGATGAAACAGAGTTCTTGACCTCTGCCAAGAGTTGTCTGTGCAGTCATTGTCCCACTCCAATGTCCCTAACAAGTCTTTTAACAGTATAATGGACCATCCAAGTCCACAGAAAACATCCTGGGGAGGCAAACATGTTCAGTGAAAACTCAGGTTTAGTAGGTTAATCTCCCTATATAAAAGTCAACATATGTATGCATTTGTTTAAAGACTCCTGTGTGGCTTGATGGATCTGGACGAAACTTGGCACACAGACCCTTCATTACCTAAATTGAAATAATGGAGGGATCTGAATGAAAGACAACACACTTTTTGGGCCCAGAGCAAAGTGGGAAAGAAAAGGAAGGAAACAGATTGGCTGTGGCTAGGTGAAGTGGCCCTCTGGCATGTGATCAGGAAGAAACTGAATGAATTGGATTGGCTGTTGCCGGGTGATATGTATGGGGGAGGGGGGAGAAGAGAGAAGGATGAGGGAAGAAAGGGAGGAGGGAAGAAAAAGAAAAGGGGGGAAATATGAGGGGAGGGAAGAAAGAGAAAGAAGTAGAGGGAAAAGAAGGGAGAAGGAAGAGAGGGAGGAAAGAGGAAGAAAAAGGAGAGAAGTAAAGAAGTGAAAGGAAAAGGTATGAGGAGAAGGGAAGGAAAAAAGAGAAAGTTGATAAGAGAAAGGAAGGGAAGGAAAAGGATAGAAGAGAAGGAAGGAAGGTATACAAGGAAAAGCAAGTGAAGAAAGGAAGAACAGAAGGGAAAAGGTATATGAGAAAAATGGAGGAAAGACAGAGCCACAAAGAGAGCTTGCCTACCATTGTGAGACAGGCCTTCTCAGAGCTGGAGAAGGGAGAAAGAAGGTGGGTACTGGCCCTTCTGACACCCGGGCAATGCCTCAATAAACTTCCTCAAGATTTGATCAAGAAAAAGGTTGACTTTTGTAACGTGTAAGCATCTGTATGTGGCAGCCTAATCCTGTCTGATCATTAATGTAAGAATTCTAGATGTATTTGTTAGAGCAGTGGTTCTCAATCTGTTTTGGCCTACAACTGTCAGAAATCCCATCCAGTTTACCTGCTGTTAGGATTTCTGGGAGTTGAAGGCCAAAACATCTGGGGACGCACAGGTTGAGAACCACTGTGTTAGAGAATATGCCTCAGTGAGTAAATGCACTTAGGGTTAGGATTCACTGAAAGCAGGTATAAGTCAACTGTGGTGGTTGGAGCCTGGGGTTACAATCCTATATAATTATTATCTGGGAACTGGCCAATGTCTGGGTAAAGGTCAAGCATCAGTCTAGGCTAATTAAAGTAGGAAATAAAATCAGAGCCGGCCATCAGCAAGTATCCTTTATTCAGCAGCCTGAATCTTAACTAATGTTTCATACAACAAATATAATTATGTGAATGGTGACTATAAAGATAAAAGACTAAAATTTGGATTGATTTTTTTTGTTTGTGTTAGTAAGCCATCTTTGTACAATCTCTCCTTCGCTGCAACACAGCGGAGATATGTAAAGTTACAGACAAAAGCTATTTACCTGACTTGTCAGAGAGGCTTTCCCCAAACACACTTCAGAGGTAACGTTCATCAACTGTAGGCATGTGGCACTTAGACAATCATCTTTGCACAGAAAGCTGTTAACAGTCATGCGAGGGCACAGTCAGTTATCTTTAGCAAGGCAACATTTTCACCATGGAGCAGTGGGGAAAGTGAAGGAGGCACTGCACTGGAACAAGACAGCTAGTCAACTCCACTGTATGCAATGTCAGAAACAAATACTTGAAGTGATATAGGGTTGGTTCCCCACCCCCCCAAAAAAAAAAAAAGATTTGGATGATGTGTGATTTAGGGATAGCTTTGAATGGCACAGTCAGCCTTATTGAGTCGCTCCAATGGTTCTGTACCAGAGACTTAGAGGAACTGAAAGCACACAAGAAACCATATTGAGAGGCTAGCATGCTATGGGAACAAAGATCAGTCCCAATTTTCCTTTGTCAGAGCCCTCAGCATAAAATGCAAAGGTTATGAAGATACTACAGGCATTTCACTGATATCCAGCCAAGACACACAGTAGTTTACAACATCCACAAGTTACTTCTGCAAATGAATACACACCATATGAAGGTGTTTTCACAAAAAGAAAAAGATCGAATTGGAGATCCTGTCCTAAACTACTATGTTGCCACTCCATCAAGCTTTGGTTTCCTAAAGAAATTGCGATAAAGTAAGTCTACTGGATAGAGTAGGATTGAGCCCTAGAAGCTTAGGACTGTGCCCTGTATCTTGTAAATATAATGATCGGATTTAGAGTACCCTTGAGATTTAAAATTGCACAAGTACCTCTTTTGTTTGTCATGATTTTGTTAGCAAAGGATTTCTAGAGGCCCTAAGAAATATTCTCCACTTGTTCATAAGCATAAAGGAAGTGCATGAGCAAGGCTTATGCTGTCAATCTCTCGGCCTGCACTGGGTGACAAAACCACTGCATGTGCCTAGAAGTGCAAAAGAGGGGAAGATGCCACTGACTTAAAGTGCCCTAAACTGTAGCTTTTCCTTTTTTTAAAAGACCAATAATTAAAAAAAAACTAGGAAATAAATGGCTCCTGGCAAAAGCATCTTGGTCAGCCACCATCTCGGTAAACACTGGAAACAAAATTACTACACCTTTCAATGCAGAAAAGGAAGCAGTTCAAACAGTGTCAGCAGCAGATGCATATATGGAAAGACAGATCTGCAGAAAGGTCAGTAATGGAAATGACACCCAAGAATATCAGGAGCAATTTCAAGCATAAATAAAGACTCCGTTAAAAGCGAAGAAGCCGGGAGTGGCAGAAATTGGCCCTTCTGAATGGCTTGACGTAGTTAGTGGAGAAGCTGAAACAGGCCACAGTGTCCCGCCATAGATAAAGGACCAGGAAAAGGACCGCTACACAGAGTACCCCCAGCGCTTTATCTCCTTTTATCCTACAAACAGGAAAAACAGAGGGAAAAAATCAGACTAGATTTAATGAAGGAACAAGAGCTCCCCTATTCATAAACATGTTACATGGTGATGGTGTAATGCAAGGGAAAAAATGAGACATTATTGCGCCTAAGATAAGAATGGCTGCAGTAACAAGTTTGTAATACAATGAGATTTATCAAAGCATTTGATTTTGACGATGTTGTGCCTCGCCTCGAGCCACAGGGAGAGCCAGGTAATTAATTTATTATTATCATTATCATCATCATCATCCCACCCTATATCAAAAGGGCAGTGCAAACCATTTACGATTAGGACTTCCAACAATACTAGAATATAATATGAAAACTCTAAAAGCATCTTAAACATGGGCCAGTATAAAACAAACGGAGACATTTAAACCTATTCTTGCCCAAATATTCAGAAAAGTTCTGTAACATCTGTAAAAAGCTTGGCCTTTTGCATTTTTTCTACATGGGAAAGATGTTCCTGAGTATTCTCTGAACCATTTAAGGACTGTGGGTTGAAACAGAAAGCGACAACATCACTTACTTCTCCATAGCTCATTATTCCATTTTAGGAAACCTAGCCAAAGTCTCTGGGTGGATTATTTCTTTAGCTATTTAATTGCTCACCTGAGGCATTTGTTGATCACCTATTGACCCACCAGGAACCCTGGGATGATGCCCATTTGATAAAAACACCAAAAACACTACATTAAAAGTAGGCAAAGGCTCTCCAAGCCACAGCATCCACCTGGCCTTTCAAGAGCGCACTTAAATTATAAGCCTGATCTTTCAGAGGGAGCACATGCCTCCCAGAACAGATTGCCTTCCCATCCTCAGGTCAACCTTCCTATGACCAATAGCACATCCATCTTTGCTGGATTGAGGCTCAATTTGCTCATCGACACCCAATCCTTCACTGCTTCCAAACAGCCGTTTGGGACTTCCATAGCCTCCTTGGCATCAGTTGTACAAGAAAGATGGCGATCACCAGCAAACTAATAACCAACTCCAAGGGGCTTCATGTAGATGATAAAAAGCAGAGGAAGTACTCTAAACCCGACAGGATAATGGCAGGAGACTGGAATCACAGCAGCATAATTCTTCCAAGTCCTGCATCAGCTAAATGACCCAGAAGGACACAATGATGAATGGCATCAAATGGCACTGACAAGTCCAGCGGAAACAGGGACACGTTCACCCTTCCAATTTCCAACATAAGCCATCCATTAAAGTGACCAAGGTTATTTTGATCCCACAACCAGCCTTGCATCTAGACTGCAACGGAACCAGATAATTCATCTCAAACTGGGCTTGGACTACCACTATTTGCTCTAAGACTTTACTTTTAAAAGGGAGATTAGAAACACGGCGATGGGGCCCAGTGAAGGTGTCTCCAACAATCATATTACAATTGCTTCTTGTACAGCACTGGGAATGAAGCCCTTGGTCCAAAAAAAAAAAAAAAAGTATTTACAGTCTCCACCATTCAACCAGCCAGCCCTCCTCTGGCAGCTTTAATCAGCCAAGATAGAGACAGGCCAAAAAGATGAATGGCTGGCCTTACTTCACATTTGATTTCATTTTTTTAAGTGTTTGCCTTATGTTATGACAACAAAGAGCAAATCCTAGCTAATGTAATATTTCACATGTTGTTAATGGGAAAAAAACATCAAATGTTGTATGTCTGTTATTCTCTTTCCCTCCCTGTTCAATAGAGACAGTAAGATTGAATGTACCCACGAGCCATTTAGCATCTGTATCCTGGCTGGAATCTGGCAGTTTCCTCAAAAATAAGGTCTTTAAGTTTTTCCTTCGGCAAGTCGTCTAGTTCCATGTCAAATTTGAAAGGTGCTTCTGCTACAGGCTTGAAAAAGAGAAAACCAACATGAAAATGACTTCCTTTCTTTGTAGCCTCAGCACATTCCTTGAACTCAAGAAAGTTACAAACAACTCTAATACAGTAAGCTCACTTTAGATGCTTACTATTGAAAGCTCAATTTAAGGAATTTCAGTTATTTCAAACAGTCAGGATAACAATAAAAGAAGTTCTCATACCTCATCACTTGGATCATAATACTGCTCTAGATATGGATGGGCCAAAGCTTCTTCAACTTCAATTCTTTTATGAGGGTTGAAGGTCAACATTTTGTCCAATAAATCAAGAGCTGTAGAGAAGTTGTTAGCATTAGTTCAGACTTATAGAAAAACAGTGCTATAGAAAAACAGCTAACTTTTCATTTGTACACAAGTGCATTCCATGGGAGACTTCACTCCTTCAGCGCAAAGTATTAAGAACAGATCACGAAGAAAAGCCTCTCAAATCCATCCTGTCTTAATGAGAAAACATATGAGATGCCTCGAATATGTGTGCACATGTACACGTGATTAGTGTTTGGATCCTATTTCCACAGCTAGGAAGTCAAACTGATCTCTCCCCTTGCTGTCTTGCTTTAAAAACATAAAGTCCAGTTGAAAAGAATAAGATAAAGGCTTGATAAGCAATCAGGTCAATTACCGTATTTCATCACATAATAGTCGCCACTGCAAAACTGTCACTCCCCCATTTTTGTGGTGGCAAATTTGGCATTATATTCCTTGCATAATAGTTTCAGAACTGTTTGGGACTGATTCTCCCTCCCTTCCACATTCCCTTCCCCAAAGTCAAGTACGAAATAGAGGTCTCTGAAGCTCCGCTCTTCCCTTCTTCCTCCAGTTCCGATTTTGTAAACTGCCTTGCCTTCAGAGAAGGGAGGGAGAATCAGTCCTAAGTGGCTTTGCAGTTTTAAAAAAGAAAAACGGAAACAAAACTTTTTGAGGCTGGATCATCCCTCCTCCTCCTGTCTCGGAGGTAAAGAAGTTTAAGAAAATCTAAAATTGGAGACTCAAAGGCAATTTTCCACTGCATGAGGTGGCACCCCTTTTTCCAATATGTGTGGCTATTATGTGATGAAATACAGTATATTGTGAGGAACTAGGACCTCATCCATAGGTAAAATTCAGAATTCAGTGAGCACAGCCAATGGATTTATGGGAGCTATAGTATCTCATTGGCTCCAGGTCACCTACTCCTGGCTATCTTATAAAACTCTGCTCTGTGATATGAGGGTTAATGGAAAGACAGCATGCACATCTACAGGATCCCAGCCTCCTATAACCTTTTATCTTATTGCTAGTAGTACTGCACTGTATTTCTTTACATTTCATCTTAACAACGATCTTAACAGATTAGAGAGATGGGCCAAAACTAACAAAATTAAATTCAATGGGGACAAATGCAAGATACTCCACTTAGGCCAGTGTTTCTCAACCTGTGGGTCCCCAGATGTTTTGGCCTTCAACTCCCAGAAATTCTAACAAGTGGTAAAGTGGCTGGAATTTCTGGGAGTTGTAGGCCAAAACACCTGGGGACCCACAGGTTGAGAACCACTGACTTAGGCAGAAAAAAATGAAATGCAAAGATACAGAATGGGGGATGCCTGGCTTGACAGCAGTACATGTGAAAAAAATGTTTAACTTGTGGACAACAAGTTAAACATGAGCCAACAATGTGATGCTGCATCTAAAAAAGCCAGTGGGATTCTGGCCTGTGTAAATAGAAGTACAGTGTCTAGATCCAGGGAAGTCATGCTACCCCTCTATTCTGCCTTGGTTAGACCACACCTGGAATCACACTGTGTCCAACTCTGCACACCACAATTGAAGAGAGATATTGACAAGCTGGAATGTGTCCAGAGGAGGGTGACTAAAATGATCAAGGGTCTGGTGAACAAGCCCTATGCGGAGTGGCTTAAAGAGCTGGGAATGTTTAGCCTACAGAAGAGAAGACTGAAAGGAGACATGATAGCCATGTATAAATATGTGAGGGGAAGTCACAGGGAGGAGGGAGCAAGCTTGTTTTCTGCTGCCCTGGAGACTAGGACGCGGAGCAATGGCTTCAAACTACAGGAAAGGAGATTCCACCTGAACATTAGGAAGAACTTCCTGACTGTGAGACCTGTTCAGCAGTGGAACTCTCTACTCCCAAGTGTGGTGGAAGCTCCTTCTATGAAGGCTTTTAAACAGAGGCTGGATGGCCATCTGTTGGGGGTGCTTTGAATGTGATTGTCCTGCTTCTTGGCAGGGGGTTGGACTGGATGGCCCACGAGGTCCCTTCCAAGTCTATGATTCTATCATCTCTTGACATACCTTTGGCGTCAGCATTTGGAAACAGCCTGTTCCACGGCACTTTGTTTTTGTACGGTAGAGAAAGCAAATAGTTTCTAGCTTTCAAATTGATTATACAGTTCAGGTCTTCTTGAGAAGGAGACCCAAGTATTCCTAAGAGAAAATGGGAAAGCATGATTACCAAAACAAAACAAGTCTGATGTAAGGACAGAAAGAAACTGTGTTAGACTTGATGGTTTAAGAGATGACAAAGCTAGGTTACTTTGGATTTTGTTTGTTCTTGGAAATCAACAGTTTATTTATGGGTTTTGTACATACAAGTGAAGAGTCCTTTCGCTAAAATAATAACTATCTTTCCTCAAGAACACGGAAGTCTCAGCTTACCAAGCAAAACTGTATTGTGCCCCAGTGCAAAATGGGTAAATGTTGCTGGGGAATGAGCAGCCAGCAGTTACCTAGCAGACAGTAGTTTGACCACTAACACATAGGTCAGTCTTAAGATCATACCATTTATGCTATTCTGGAATCTTTTCACTTACTTTAATTATCACTTAGACTCAAATCTAAGAGTCTTGGTGAAAGACTTGCTGGAGAAGTACTGATGGTAATGGGAGCTTTGGAAAGGAGAATTCTCAAAATCATCATCATAGGCTACCACTCGCGTCTGAGTATGATTGCCTTCCAAGTGCAGAGTCTTGGCGGTGGATTTATAAGTGACTGTAGAAACCAATTCTGGGTCCGCATGTTCATTCACAGTGAGGACATACATTTCCAGATGGAAGGTTGTCTCAACAAGGGTTGGCTTGATAAGCCTTCTTCCTCTTGGCATGTTTCTCCCTTTTGCCTTCCATTCGTGCCTCTTCAAATTCTGCAACACTGCTGGTCACAGCTGGCCTCCAGCTAGAGCACTAAAGGGTCAGGGCTTCCCAGTTCTCGGTGTCTATGCCTGTTTTAAAGGTTAGCTTTAAGCCCATCTTTAAATCTCTTTTCCTGTCCACAACATTCCATTTTCCGTTTCTGAGTTGAGAGTACAGTAACTGCTTTGGGAGACAGTGATCGGGCATTCAGACAAGGTGGCCAGTCCAGTGAAGTTGATGGCAAAGGATCATAACTTCAATGCTGGTGGTCTTAACTTCTTTCCGAATGCTGATATCTGTCCGCCTGTCTTCCCAAGAGATTTGCAGGATTTTTCGGAGGCAATGCTGATGGAATATTTTCAGAAGTTTTGAGTAACGTTTGCAGATGGTCCACGTCTCGCAGGCATGTAACAGGGTTGGGAGGACAATAACTTTATAAACAAGCATCTTGGTATATCTACAAATGTCCTGATTCTCAAGCACTCTCTACTTCATTCGAATAAGTGCTACACTCACAGAGCTCAGACGGTGTTGTATTTTGGTATCGATGTTGCCTTTTGTGGAGAGGTGGCTGCCTAGGCAGCAGAAATGGTCAACATTTTCTAACATTACACCATTAAGCTGTATTTCTGGCATTGCAGAGGGATTAGCTGGTGCCTGGTGAAAGAGCACTTTGGTTTTCTCAATATTCAGTGAGAGGCCAAGCTTTTCATATGCGTTTGCAAAGGTGTTTAGGGAAGCTTCTAGATCTTCTTCTGAATGAGCACAGACTACATTATCATCAGCATACTGGAGTTCAGTAATAGACGTTTTTGTGACCTTACTTTTGGCTTTCAGTCTGCTGAGGTTAAAGAGCTTGCCATCTGTCTGATGGGTTATTTTATTGGACAATATTTATTTAACCTCATTCTCAAAATATACCTCCACTAAAATATGACATGATTGTTATTCATCTTATTCTGAAACGAGGAGCGGTTCTTAAATAAGTTCATGCACACAGTCTTCTTTCCGACCATTTTCCGGTTCCAAATCCCAGAGCTTTACTTGAGATACATCCTACATGAGGTATTTCTTTCTAAAGGCTGATAAAATGTTTTACACTTATTTTCTCTCTTTTGAGTTCAATACGTAAGATTAAATTATGGCAAAATTCTCTCTTGCAGAAATCAATTTAATAACAGCTGTAGCTACTTACTGGAAATGATTTATGAACATGTGACAATTTGGTATTTAAAATCTATCAAAAGAGCACATTTAAATCAAACTATGAAAATGATGTTAGCTCTTGCTTGTTTCTTCCAATGGAGACTGAGCAGCATATGTTCAGATAGCCTTGCAAAACTAGAAAGAGTATGCTGCTCCTTACAAAGCAAGAATGCTGAAAAGGATATATTCAAAATAAAAATATGAACAGTGAAACTCAACTGTTCCTATCAAACCTGTCCACTAAAGAACCAACATGATAAATCTTTCACTATGTATTTAATACAAACCTTACCCAGAATGTGGTTCAGCTGATCAAGATAGTGTTTCCCTGGAAAGATGGGTCTGTTGGATAACATCTCTGCCAAAATGCAGCCTACAGACCAGATATCAATAGATTTGGTATAGCCCTACAGAAAGAAATCAGGGGTGTGTGTGTCAGTGCTTTGAAACACTTACTATATTGTTATGTACTCTATAGTTCAAGAGTGGTAAATTATGCTAATGCTGCATTTCAGGACTCTAGACCTGGAGATGACTCAGAACTTTACATAACTGCTGTTGAACAATGAGGCAAGCGCTGTGCCCAAGGAAGAGAGAAGCAAAACAGAGCACACATTACCACACAATGTATGCACAATTACTCAGAAGACAGTCCTACTGGGTTCAGTGAGATTTACTCCAATGTCGATGCATATAGTACTATGGATTCCATAAACTTTTTAATAAGTAGCTTATCCAACTGCTGCCATATTAAATGCACACTGTTGACTTCTGTAAAAAGATTCATAGGCCCCCACTTCCCCTTTAATGCACTGGACACGGACCAAGAATCACCACTGTTTCAGATGACTGTAAAATTAAGCAAACCACACGCAATATAAATGTCCCTAATTGAAAATGGTCTATGGCCAATGGCGGCCCTTCCAACCCTATGGTTTAAGTACTAAACTAATGATTTGAAATATACAAAGCATAAGACTAAGAAAGAGTACAAAAATTAAAACATGGTTTGCTGAACTTTTGGACCAGGACTTTTTGAACCCCACAACTGCTAAGCTTCAAATCCCTCCTGTGATCATAGCCTTGCCTATTTTCCCCCCAGAACTATGATTCAAACCTATATGCATTTATCAAAAGCACTTCTCACTTCCTAGCCCTTTAGCACATGTGTGAAAGTGTGCTCTTGCTGGTCTCACCAGCTCCTTCTCGTCTCGCACCACTGATGACTGAATGTGAGCAAACATATTGGGAATTAAGACACAAGAGATTGAGATACAAAAAGAATGTAAGGATGGAATATTTTTTTTTTAGAAAAAGACTATTTTCTTCTAAAGCTAAATTGTAGCAGCACAAGCAGAAGCACAGGCTCAATCTTGTTTTGGGAAGGCAAGTACATTATAATACAGTTATATACCTAAGATAGCAAGGTTTCCTTTAACAAGTGGCCCCAACTATGTGGTAAGTTCTCTAAATGGTTCAACAATTGGTTGGGGCAGGAAGAACAGTTGTGAAAGCAGCACTTTCTCTGAGGTTGTGTAAGTGCCACCAATTGTCGCATAAACACCCACAGATTGAATCCTTATTCTGCATCCAGATTGAATCCTTATTCAATCTGGATGCAGTAAGCGGAACTAGTCAAGTAATGTACAATAGTCAAGCTCAAGGCCATAGCACCTGTTGTACATCAGCTGTGAAATCGTGGCACTCAGTGTAATTACACTGGCATTGATAGGTATTTGTCATATTGTCAAAGGCTTTCATGGCCGGAATCACTGGGTTGTTGTAGGTTTTTTCGGGCTATATAGCCATGTTTTAGAGGCATTCTCTCCTGATGTTTCGCCTGCATCTATGGCAAGCATCCTCAGAGGTAGTGAGATCTGTTGGAACTAGGAAAATTGGGTTTATATATCTGTGGAATGACCAGGGTGGGACAAAGAACTCTTGTCTATTGGAGCTAGGTGTGAATGTTTCAGCTGACCACCTTGATTAGCATTTGATGGCCTGGCAGTTGTTTGGTGTGGCTTGTTAGTGCCTGGGGGAATCTTTTGTTGAGAGGTGATTAGCTGTCCGTGATCATTTCCTCTCTGTTGTTTTGCTGTTGTAATTTTAGAGTTTTTTAATACTGGTTGCCAGATTTTGTTCATTTTTATGAACAAATTTGTCCACATGCTTATGGATTTCAATGGCTTCTTTGTGTAGTCTGACATGGTGGTTGTTAGAGTGGTCCAGCATTTCTATGTTCTCAACAGATCTCACTACCTCTGAGGATGCTTGCCATAGATGCAGGCGAAACGTCAGGAGAGAATACCTCTAGAACATGGCCATATAGCCTGAAAAAACCTACAACAACCCAGGATCTTTGTTGTAGTTAGTGTGTTAAGCTCAAGGTTGCAGCTCATGTACACGGAAAATTAAGAATTGAGGCATGGAGTTTGCAAGGAGGGAGAGACGGGTAGTCAAACCATGCAAACCCAAAGGAACTGTTAAGAACAGCATTGTAGTCAATCAAAATGACATTCTACTGCAAATGAAAAGCACAAAGATTTCAATCAAAATGTCAAGAACCCTTTTAGGGATAGTGATCACCTTTGAATTCAACATGATCTCGGGAGCTCGGTACCAACGCGTGGCCACATACTCAGTGAGGAAACCAGTGTGGTCATGATCTGGATCTGCGACACGAGCCAATCCAAAATCACAGACCTAACGTTAAATAAGACAAAATCGTTGTTATAAAAACGTTCTTCTTTTCAACCATATTATTCTTGCTAATCAGGGTCCTCACAGATTCGGAAGCTGTAAGGCAAACTGTGAATCTGCACTCAACGCTTCAGACTCTGCAGCCTAGCTGCTCCATGACAACAAGCAGGTTCATTTTTATGTCCCATTTTCAGCACTAGGGAAAGTGAGATAGCATCTAAACCTACAAAGAGAGCGAACAAATCTGAAAATGTAAAAAAGGTGAGATCTCAGACCTGTGAGCAAACAAGCTTCAGTTTTTGTTGCCCAAATCCTTACTTGCCAAATACTATGCCAAACAGATCCATAGTAAATACTCATCTTTCTCCCTATTCTGTTTCCTATACTTGACTACAACATACCCTGTTTAAATCTATATAATTCATTTCGTTTTTTCCATGAAGAATTATTTACCAATGTTTGGAAGCATAGAACAAATTACACATAGTACATAGTCCTATGGGAAATATATTCATGAACCTTAAGATCGCAAGTTGTGTTCAGCAGCAAGTTGGAAGGCTTGAGGTCACGATGCAGCACATTGGCTGAATGGATATATTTCAATCCTCTCAGGATTTGATAAAGGAAATAACAGATGTGATCATTACTAAGATGCTGGGTCTTTAAGAGCTTGTAAAGGTCTGTCTCCATGAGATCTTGCACAATGTATCTGTACATCAAATTAAGGCAAAAGCACAAACTTTTACTTTAAAATTAAACTTTTGACTGCAAACACTGGAGCTGTGGGAATTCCAAGTCCTTGAAAAGATTTTCCCAACAATTCACAGAAAAATCAGAAAATATACAGAACTTTTAAAACATTATTTATTTTACTCTATTTGTGTCCTGCCTTTCTCTACCCCGAAGGGGACTCAAGGAGGCTTTACATTTGGCAACTATTCAATGCCTTTGAACAACAAACAGTTAAAATACATTAAATTAAAGATTAAAATTAAATCCACATTAAAAACATATAATAGACAAAGATGCACATAATCCACAGCAAACATCCTAGAATACGGAAGATTATTTTCAATAGTATGAATGACAGTGGCACCGAGATGAAGGTGTAACTTTGCAAGAAGACAAAGTTACAAGATTTGGGGTTTGACCCACTAATAAGTATCAGCAGGCTTAATTCTGTAGCTAGAACAGAAAAGTAAACCTTTTTGTCTATTCAGTATCAAAATCCCAATAAGAATTAACTCAACACAGACAAACATCAGAATGAAGGGAATAACAGGACATATCTTTGAAGGATACACATCTTTCATTTGATCAGTTGTCGGAGCTCTGATGATGTCATTGATGCCAATAATATTTTCATGCTTGAAACGCAAGAGGATTTTGATTTCTCGCAGAGTCCTCTGGCAGTAAGTCTGGTGTTCAAAAGGGCTGATCTTCTTTATTGCCACCCGAACTTTGTTGACATTGTCATAAGCAGAACTGGAAGAGGAGTTGTCAATATTATATTTTTAAAAATGAAAATTCAGCCTCTATAAAGCCAGATCCAGACATACAAGATCGACATGCATGATGATATCATGGCAATCTCAATATGGTCATATGAGTAGAGGGTAAAGTTTCATCTTTGTAAGATGCCCTTGGTACTGAGACTTACAGGAATTACACAATGTCTCTGCCCAATCCTCATATCTCAATCAATTTAATAAGGTCTTACAGACCCATCTGCAATTTTGGAAGGGCTGTTATAAGGAGGGACAGGAATATCTGCAAGTATTTGCATTTAATTCACAGAAAGCACTATTCGTTTTAGGGCCAACCAAAAAGGAGCTCAGGTACATTACCAATATAATTATCTGCTTTCATAAGCTTAGTAGATCAGGTTTTTAATTGTCCTAGTGAAGTGGGCTCTCAGCCACATAAAAGGATACAATACATTTGTTCGCCTTTTACATGCCAAATGACACCGTTTTGCTACAGCAGACTAACCCAGTTACTCTTCTGGATGCTACCATCACAGTAAACTTTTGCCACAGAAATAAAAATGGGACAATTCACAAATGCAATAACAGGACACCGGAAAGCTGACTTTTCCCATACATTTAGCTAGATCGATCTCGTCTAAAACCGCTTTCGCTCTTGACCAGGTAAAAGTTAGCCCCTTCCTGCTCCAACTCTTTGCCAAGGCTTTTTTCGGATGGGAAAAGCTGTCGTCTGGAAATCTGCCCAAATACTCACAAGACCGATTAAAAGTTTTCTTGTAAGTATAAAGCAGGACAACGGACAACAGCCTGGAAGCCAAGCTTCCACTTTCGGAAAATAATTACAAAGCATCATTCCATGATCGAAGCCTAACAATTACACTGCTCATAATGATTGCCCTAAACAGAAAGTTAGCACACAATCATTTGAGAGAAAAAACAGCTATCTTAAGCTAGTGTTCGCCTTCAACATCTTCACTTAATCAGTAGGATGCCCTGCTGTGACAAAGGAGAAACAATGTTTTTCAAGGTTTTCAAGCAGAGTTATCTAGCAAAAAACCAAAAAATTTAAAGACGTAACTAATCAGATTGAACACAAAAAGTTTTCAATAATCGATATGTTTTTTCAAATGCTATCACAGGTTTTCCTGGAACTGAAAGTGTGAGACTCATGGATCAAGCCCTGGTCTCTGGAGCTGCAGTTGAACACTCATAACTTCTCTTCACAATGAACCACAATTTAAACCAGGCTATTTCCGAAAGGAAAAACCTGAATAGAAAGTGATGTGACCTTACAACAGGTTTCAAAACAGAGGAAAGGAAACGAAGAGGAGTCGGTGTGGGGTAGCGGTTTGAACACTGGACTAGGACTTCAGGAGATAAGGGTTTGAATTCCCCCTTTTAGTTATGGAAGCTCAGCGATCTTGGAAAAGGCACATTCTCTCAACTTTAGGAGGAAGGCCAAATTAACCCCCCTCTTGCAGAGATCCCTCTTTGCTTCTTCATCCAAATCAACAGTAGGCACCAAGTGACTGAAAAGTGTCACAGGGCTAGAAGGCAGGCACTGGATTGAGGAAGAAAAATGCTAACACTGGGCTGAGGGCTCTGCGCAAAAGCCAAATGATCAAAACAAATGCATGCCACCTTTCTCGATACACCCTGCAAAACAGCAGGTGCATACGGACATACATGGGCACCACCTCTACCCTTTTACATGCATCAGTGAAAACTCCTGGCTATTTAAATGGCACTGATGTCTATGGCACTAAAAAGTTATGGCTTTGGCATATGACTAGATGTTGGAAGTGGCATTGAAACAAGTAAATAAAAAGATTGGTGATTAGGCATACTTATAAATACACAATACACTACAAGCAGAATAGGATTGTATCAGTAATTAGCTTCCAATTTTTTATTTTGTTAGAATGAGATCTCGTCTGTATGAAAATCACTAGTTCTTATACTTTCTTATCCCAATCTTACTTTAGTTCCTTCCATCACAGCATAACAATTAATAAATATAATATATTGTACTGTTTGGGGTAAATTCACCTACCCCAAGTGCCGGTATGTGAGTTAACTCTATACTCTTGATAACGCATTGACACTGCAAGACTCCAAAACGTCAGTGATGGCATGCCAAGTACTAATCAGAGAGAAAGATAGCTCAGAAGCCATTCTTTTGCACCTTACTGCTGGAACCCTCAAACCCCTATTTCTACAAGTAAATATATAACACTGTATCACAGTTTTTTATCTGCTGCAAAGCTCATAACATACTAAATAAATATGCAGTGTACGCAAGACTTGATGGTATCAGGTTTTTTTTTAAAAATCTTACTTCCCTTTCCATGCATCTAGGTTATTGCTCAAGTCAGGAAATAGTTACTACTGACGAACATTCATCAAAAGCCAGCTGAGGACGTCCTATCTCCACTCACTTTTGCAGCAAGTAATTACAAAGGAAATGGCGAGAAGCAACATCAGAAAACACTGAAAAGACAGATTATGTTCTTTTTGAGGAAAGAATGTTCAGGGAATTGGGGTGAGGAACTAGCTCACGTCTTTCATATGGTAACCATTTATATAATAGGGGATCAGGGGTTCTTCACTACACTTCTAGAAGATTTCCTTCACCCCAGAAAACTCTCATACCACAGACACAATACTTAACACAAAGCGTGTTAACTGAAGGCAAAGCACACACAGCCACTTGGTTTTACGTGCACAATCCGCAGAATGGTTATGCAACTTCTGGGATTGTGTGTTTATACTGGTTTTGAACTGTTCCCTAGCATGTCTTTAGCTGAAGATAAGGGAGTAGTTGATATTAAGGGCACGGCATATAAGAAACTCCGTCTCGGTCTGAAAGTACACAATAGTTAGGTGAAAAGACACAAATCCTGCCCTCAAGACAGCAATCTTACATACCTGGGAGTATGTCCCACTAAATTCAATGGTACTAACTTTTTGAAGAAACATATTTATGTCATAGAATCAAAGAACTCGAAGAGATCGCAAGGGTCATCCAGTCCAACTCCCTTCTGTCATGCAGGAACATATAATCAAAGCCCTCCTGACAGACTGCCATCCAGCCTCTGCTTAAAAACCCCCAGAGAAGGACGCTTTAAATAGGACTGGAGTGCATGCAAGTTGCCAGATGTTGGAGTGCACCTCTTTGACATTCATTCCTCATCAATGATCATACTGGGTTTACAAGACTTTAAAAGCTGCTTTAAAGGTAAGGCATCTATAAACTATTAATGATCTTTGAACATCATATAAAAGGGACTATAATCATGGCGCGTGTTAAGGTAATGCATATCCTGCCATCGGGAACTCAGTGGGATTTACCTTTAATTATAGTGCTCATTGTAGTGGTTTGAGCATTGGACTATCGTTCTGGACATCTGGGTTCAAATCCCTGCTCAACCATGGTGACCCTGGGCACGGTGGAGACTCCTTCGTTGGAGGCTTTTGAACAGAGACTGGATAGCCATCTGTCAGGGGTGGTTTGAAATGCAATTTTCCTGTTTTTTGGCAGGGGCTTGGACTGGATGGCCCATGAGGTCTCTTCCAATGCTACAATTCTATGTCACACTCCTCGCGCCTTGGGGTCACCATGGATCAGAAGCGAATGGAAGGCACACAGCAAAACAGCCATAGGAAAGTATTTAAAATCTACACTGCAAACACACATTTACCTTTGAGGGAAACTCAGCCACTTCTGGCACGTCTGTTTTGACAACAAATATCACAGCTCACCAATCTTGGAGTCTATACAACAAAGCTGAGAGCAAGTGCCTTTGTTTAAATGGGATTTGGGACACTGTGGTTGGGGGATATTAATGAGAGAACTTCATAGGTCATGCAAGAAATGCATCATGAAAATGATAAAATAGGATGGAAGTGACCGCTGACTAGGTGTCTTCAGCATTCCCTATCACAGACTCAACCGTCAATTAAAATATTTTCTGAAAAGCCCCCAAAGCATACCTTGATGTTTCCATTTTATATAAGAGACCCTGTTTCACTACACTGTTATATATATATACTGGGAGGTGAGCATCTGATGGATCTGGATGCTGGAAACCATCCTAAGGGCCTGCCTGATATGTTTTGGGAGCAGCACCACGCTGACAAGAACACCTTGTGCAGGAAGGTCAAGAAGGCTGGCTTTCAAACCAGCCAAGCAAGGTGCCTTGGCCCCCTTTACCCCAGAGAAAGCCCCACAGGGCAAAGGAGGATTCATCAGAGAATAAAAAGCACCGGATTCCAGATGTTAGCATCTTCAACATTTTTGTTGGCTCCCACTGAGGCACAGGTGGCATCTACACTGTAAAATTCATGCAGTCTGATGCCACTTGGACTGCCCTGGCTTGATACTATGGCATCAAGGGAGTTGCAAAAAGGTGAAGACCTTGAGAAACTATAACTCCCATTGCCAGGGCCGTTCAAATGGACAGTGACACTGGGGAACAAATTATTATTATTATTATTATTATTGTTGTTGTTGTTGTTGTATTTATTTATACCCCGCTTTATCTCCCCAAAGAGGAATCAAAGAGGCTTGGCATAAAAGCATTCATAGACACTTTAAAATATACACATATAAGTAAAGGTTTTCCCTGACCAGTCCAGTCATGTTCGACTCTGGGGGTTGGTGCTCATCTCTATTTCTAAGCTGAAGGGCTGAAGTTGTCCGTAGACGCCTCCAAGGTCATGTAGCCGGCATGACTGCATGGAGCGGTGTTACCTTTCCGCAGAAGCGGTACCTATTTACTCACATTTGCATGTATCGAAACTGATACTTTGGCAGAAGCTAGGGCTAACAGCAGGAGCTCATTCTGCTCCATGGATTCGAACCGCTGACCTGGTCAGCAAGTTCAGCAGCTCTGCGGTTTAACACGCTGCACCACCAGGGGACCATACACATATACAAACATGAAAACAGAATTAAACACAAGCAGCACTAAAAAAAAATCACAGTTAAAATCCATTGAAACATATTCACAGTATGTTTGGCCACTTGGCCCCACTTCAAGTGCCACGGAGTTTTGGGAGTTGTAGTTTGACAAGGCCTTTTCTGCCTTGTGGGCCAAAAAAAAAAAAAGAGGGCAAGGGCCTCACCATGCTGCAACTTTAATCTCAATTGTTATTTTGAAATACTAATGATGTTTGTTTAATGCTGTTTTAGTATGGTCCGCGTATGGAGAGAAACAGCGGGATATAAATAAACATAATATTTTAAATTGTATTGTAATCCTGAACGCTTTTACTGTTAGACACTTTGCGTCTCCTTATGGAGAAAAAGCGGGATAGAAATAAACACCATCATCACCACCATTCCCAGGATGCCAGAGAGCCACAAGTTAGGGTCCCACTGCATCCTGGGAGATGTAGTTTGGGATTCGTAAGCAGAGAAGGCTACAAAACTCCCAAACTCCCAGGACTCCATATAACAGGGAGCCGGGGGTTTCCCCTTGCATCTGGGAGGTGTAGTTCGACGAAGTCCTCGCCCTCTTTGGCCTCGAGCAGGTCGAACTACAACTCCCAGGGCGGGTCAAATGGGGTCCAGCGCCAAAGCGGCGGGCTCCTTACCAGACCATGCCGTAGGCTCCTTCGCCGATGTAGGAGAGGTTGGTGTAGCGGGGCCCCACGTCGAAGGCCTGCCCGCGGACCATTTCGGGGCCCCCGGCTGGGTTGGCCCCGCTGCCCCCGGCTGCCCCCGAGACTGCCGCCATGTTGGAAGGATGGAGAAGACGAAGCCAAGGAGCGAGGAGGAGGAAGGCGGAGGAAGACACAACCCGACGCCGCTCTGAGGGGGAAAAAAGAGAAAAGGAGCAACACCGAGTAAGACACGTCCACCTTCCTCACCCACCGCCCGCCGCTCTGAGGGAAGCGGCAGCTCAAAAGGAAAGAGGGCGGAGCTTCCCCACAACCCCGCCTCTCCGTCTTGGCGCGCGCCAAACAAAAGGGGCGTGGACATGCCCGATTACTTTAGATGAAGGGGGCGTGGCCTGCGTTGGAGAGGCGGGGTTAGCAAGTCTAGGCTTCAGTGTGCGGGCGGGTGGGGAGCGGGTGGGGGGCGGGTGACACAAGGAAAAGGGATTGAAGTATTAAAGGGGCCTCTCTCCCACAGATGATGTCGTCGTCTCTCCTGCCATGGTGGGACAGAGGGCCCTTCCACACAGTCCTATATCCCAGAATATCCCGGCAGAAAATCCCACATTATCTGAGTGTGGACTCAGATAACCCAGTTCAAAGCCTCTTCTACATGACCATATAATCTAGAACAGGGTCCTCAAACTTTTTAAATAGTGGGCCAGGTCACAGTCACTCAAAATGTTGGAGGGCCGGATTATAATTTGAAAAAAAACATGAATATTCCCCATGCACACTGCACATGTCTTATTTGTAGTGCAAAAACCCACTTAGAATCATAGAATCAAAGAGTTGAAAGAGACCTCATGGGCCATCCAGTCCAACCCCCTGCCAAGAAGCAGGAATATTGCATTCAAATCACCCCCGACAAATGGCCATCCAGCCTCTGTTTAAAAGCTTCCAAAGAAGGAGCCTCCACTACACTCCGGGGCAGAGAGTTCCACTCCTGAACTGCTCTCACAGTCAGGAAGTTCTTCCTCATGTTCAGATGGAATCTCCTTTCTTGTAACAGTAAAAGCGTTCAGCAATATTTTTTTAAAGTAAATTTTATTAGGTTATACATATACATAGAAGTAGAGAAAAAAGAATTTACAAGGAAAGTGGGAGAACATTTGATTATAGGATAGTAGGAAATTTTAGAAATCAATATAAGAAAAAGAGAAAAAAACAAAAAAGTACAATAGTTGTTTGACTTCCATTCTGTGCCTTCGCTTAATATATATCAGTTTTTTTAGTTTATATTTGTCTCTTCTCGTTTCTCTCTGAGAACTCTTTTTTCACTCATATATCTAAAAAAAAGACAATAATAATAATAAAAGAAAAAATATTGCCAATAAATGTCTCAGAGAGTAGTCTTTTTATATATTTGTCCTATTAACTCCTTTCATTTATATAATTTTCAAATGATGACCAGTTTGTTTATTTTATTGGTTTTCCTGAGCTTTTCTTTAAAAAAAAGTTAGTTTGTTACAATAATTAAAATGAAAAACAATTTCAACAAATATAAACTTATTAGTGTTACAATGGGAAGTGTGGCCCTGCTTTTGGCTGATAAGATAGGATTGTTGTTGTGTGCTTTCAAGTCATTTCAGACTTAGCTTGACCCTGAACGAGGGCCGGGTAAATGACCTTGGAGGGCCATATGTGACCCCCAGGGCCTTAGTTTGAGGACCCCTGATCTAGAATATCAAAGGTGATAATGCACATTATCTGCTTTGAACTGGATGACATGAGTCTACACGGCCATATAATCCAGTTCAAAGCTGACCATGTGCATTATGATCTGCTTTGATAATCTGGATTATATAGCAGTGTAGAAAAGGACCAATGACAAGTAGTGTGCATAAAGCATCATTCTTTTTATTAGCCCCTTCTACACTGCCATATAATCCAGATTATCAAAGCAGATAATCCACATAATCTGCTATGAACCGGATAATAGGAGTCTATACAGTGTTCCCTTACTTATCACGGGTGTTACATTCCAGGACCACCTGTGAAAAGTGAAAATCCATGAAGTAGGGACGCTATATTTATTTTAATATTTATACATTATTTTAGTAGTTTTACACTATTTCAAGTCTTTATAAACTCTCCCCACACACTTATACACTACATAACTCTTCTTGAACATACAAACGCTCTTAAATCCATATTGAAAAACCGCGAAACAGCGAGTCCGCAAAAAGCAAACCGCAAAGTAGCGAGGGACCACTGTACTGCCATATAATCCAGTTCAAAGCAAATATTCTGGATTTTATATGGCAGTGTAGGTGTCCTTATTCACTGCCATATAATACAGAATATCAAGGCAGATAATCCACATGATCTGCTTTGAGCTGGATATTAATCTACACTGCCATATAATCAAGTTCAAAGCAGATCATGTGGATTATCTACTTTGATAATCTGGATTATATGGCAGTGTAGAAGGGCCCTCAAAATGACTGACATTAAAAGCTTTTCAACATAATGTAAAACATACGAACATTAAAACAGGATTAAATATTATTAGTATAATAGGATGTGGGTCCAGGAATATTTCTGTTTTCATCAGGAAAGTTCGCAAACCTCACAATAGTAAATGAGGAGAGGGGATTTCCCCCTCTATGCCAAACTGTGAGATTTCCTCTTTATTTGGGGGTTGGCCTTTAATGAGCCATCAAGACCCCTTAGCTCTACACAAGACCTGTTCCTCTCAGCTATTAAACCGGATCTAAGCAGTCTGTTGGTATGGAACGATGGCAGGCACGGGCAAACTTTGGCCCTCCAGGTGTTTTGGACTTCAACACCCACAATACCTAACAGCCTACCGGAGGGCCAAAATTTACCCATGCCTGATCTATGGGGATGCAGGTACAGGGACTGCTGGGACACGCGTCTATGGATTATCTACACTGTGGAATGAATGCAGCTTGGGATCATCACTTGACTGCGATGGAGCCAGGAGATCTGTAGTTTGGCTCTCTTTGGCAGAGAAGGTGAGAGACCTTGTTAAACTACAACTCCCAGGATTTCATATCAGCTCAAAAGCCAGCCATGGAGAAGTTAAAAAAAATAATCTAAACACTAAATTATAGAGCACCTGTTTGCCCCAACTGTTTCCAACGAGCGGCATGAAACAGGTTTTCTTGCCAATGTTTTCCTTTTTTGAAAGAAAAAAAATGTAGCCAGGAACATGAAGTTTGGAAAAAAGAAACAGGGAGGGGGGAGATCACAGATGACAATGTTACTTGGTACAAAAATATGTTTCATCTTTCCTGTTACATAAGTGGCGCCACTTTCACCGAGAGGGGGAGGACCAGATGGTGGAGGCTGCAAGCCTGCACATTGGGAAGGCATGTGCAGTGGGCTTCTGCACTGCTCCCAGTGGGCCCCCAATGCAACCCAAGCCTCGCAATGGCAGATCTCTCTCCGGTCACTAGCAAAGAAGTTCAATTTCATAAGCTTGGACCAGGCCATGGGTGCTGCAACACAAAGGGGAAGCATTACTTATAGGAGTTGGATCCATCAAGAAAACCGCAGCAGGGAATAGATGAATTGTAGCATCCTAGAGTTAGAAGAGATCCCAAGAGGGCACCTAGTCCAACCCCCTTCTGCCATCAAGACACAATCAAAGCACCCCCAACAGATGGCCATCCAGTCTCTGCGTAAAGTTCCCCCTTCACCATTCATTCTTGCCTGAGGTTGTTGGGTTAGCGAATGGGAACATTTGGCATGGGAGGCCTCACCTTTCTTTAATGAGGAGAGAAAGAATATTTGCCATGGGCCCTCCAACAAATGCTACGTTCAGCAAAGGACAAGAGGGATCGTCTCACCTCTGTAGGAGTCTACCATCAGAGGCGGCCCTAGGTAATTTTCAACAGTAAGCAAACAGTATTTTGGCGCCCCCCCCCCCCAACTAATCACTGATATATATTTTCTGTTCGTCATGGGAGTTCTGTGTACCATATTTGGTTCAATTCCATCATTGGTGGAGTTCAGAATGCTCTTTGATTGTAGGTGAACTATACATCCCAGTAACTACAACTCACATATGTCGTCTATTTTCCCCCAAGAGCGCCTCAAGAGCGCCCCTGGGCAAAATCAACTACGCTTACTTTGCGTAATGGGTTGATTCTACCGTATAACATGCAGCTGTGGACAAGTCTACATAGGGACCACCAAACGCAGCATTGCCCAGACATGACTCAAGGAACACGAAAGGCACTGCAGACTAATACAACCAGAGAAGTCAGCCGTAGCAGAGCACCTGATGAACCAACCTGGACACAGCATATTATTGGAGAACATACTGGACCACTCTAACAACCACCATGTCGGACTGCACAGAGAAGCCATTGAAATCCACAAGCATGTGAACAACTTCAACAGAAAGGAAGAAACCATGAAAATGAACAAAATCTGGCTACCAGTATTTAAAAAACTCTAAAATTATAACAGTAAATAAAGAACAAAACTCAAACACAGGGGAACTCCAGACAAGAAACAATCAGGAACACCTAATCACCTGACAACAAAAGATTCTCCCAGGCTGTAACAAGCCACACCTAAAAATTGTCAGGCCATCAAATGCTAATCAAGGTGGCCAGTTGAAACATTCACACCTACCTCCAACAGACAAGAGTTCTTTCTCCCACCCTGGACTTTCCACAGATATATAAACCCAATTTTCCTAGTTTCCAACAGACCTCACAACCTCTGAGGATGCCTGCCACAGATGCAGGCGAAACATCAGGCGTGAATGCTTCTAAAACATGGTCATACAGCCTGAAAAACCTACAACAACCCACCCCTCCTTTTGATGGACAGAAGTCGTCTTTATATGAGTAAACACCACGAGGAGTGGTTTAGGGAGCTGGGAATGTTTAGCCTGGAGAAGACTAGGGCTGGATCTACGCTGCCATATCAAATCCACATTATCTACTTTTGAACTGGATTATATGGCACTGTGGACTCATATAATTCAGTTCAAAGTGGATCCTGATGGTCGGAGCTCTTTGACAAAGCAATACACTGCCTTGGAGTCCAGTGAAGGGAGGTTTGTAAACAGAGGCTGGATGGCCATCTGCTGGGAGGGCTTAGATTGTGCCTTCCTGCCTGGCAGAAGTGGGTTGGGCAGGGGTCTCTTCCCACTCTAGGATTCTATTATTAAGTCTAACGTCCTTTTCACTGTCTACATAAGTGGCTGCTACTTAGGGTTTGAGAAAGAAAAAGACAATTCAGGACATGGAGTAGCAACTTGAGAGAGGAGAACAAAGTTGTGCTCCTAGATGGAGCACACCCTCGATTTCCAGGCAGGCATTTTATGGTCTGAATCCAGCTGTTGGCATGGGGGGGGGGGGGAGTATTGGGACACAAGACAATAGCCCCATTCCCATCTAGAGACACACACACACATATAAGCCAGACTTCCATGTTATGTGCATTGCCCATTCTAGACCTAGTTTGCATCACAACAGGGAAAGTTCACATGTATTGAATGTGGATGGGATTATCTAAAGTCCATTCGGTTATGGCAGGACTGTGACTCTGCTCAAAGGGCCAGCAAAACCAGAACAGGATGGCAGATGGCCACATTGTCACTCTTATTCAATAATAATAATAATAATAATAATAACAACTTTATTTATAGCCGGACCTATCTCCCCAAGGGGACTCAGGATGGCTTAGAGCAGTGGTTCTCAACCTGGGGGTTGGGACCTATGGGGGTCACAAGGGGGTCTCAGAGGGGTCACCAAAGACCATCAGAAAATACAATATGTTCTGTTGGTTATAGGGATTCTGTGTGGGAAGTTTGGCCTTATTCTATTGTTGGTGGGGATTCAGAATGCTCTTTGATTGTAAGTTAACTATAAATCCCAGCAAATACAACACTCAGATGTCAAGGTTTATTTTCCCCAAACTCCACCAGTGTTCACATTTAGGCATCTTGAGTATTGGTGCCAAGTTTGGTCCAGATCCATCATTGTTTGAGTCCACAGTGCTCTCTGGATTTAGGTGAACTACAACTCCAAAACTCAAGATCAGTGCACACCAAGCCCTTCCAGTATTTTCTGTTGGTTGTGGGAGTTCTGTGTGCCAAGTTTGGTTCAATTCCATCATTGGTGGAGTTCAGAATGCTCTTTGGTTGTGGGTGAACTATAAATCCTAGCAACTACAACTCCCAAATGACAAAATCAATCCCCACCAACCCCTCCAGTATTGAAATTTGGGCGTACCAGGTATTTGTTCCAAATTTGGTCCAGTGAATGAAAATACATCCTTCAGATCAGATACAGTAGCAACAAAAAATAATTTTATGGTTGTGGGTCACCACAACATGAGGAACTGTTTTAAGGGGTCGCGGCATTAGGAAGGTTGAGAAACACTGGCTTAGAGCAAAGTAAAACATATTGGCAAACATTCATGCCGAAGGTACAAATAACAAATCAAAGCAGCTTAAATAAACAAGACACAATACAATCACACTTTTAACATATTAGATCCTTAAAAACTCTTAAAATTTGACTAAAATTATTGGGTTTAAGATGGTATACAGCAGATTAACGAGGGCAGAAGTTCTACATACCAAGGTGGGGTGTATATAAGGTGTAATTAGTTCTCCTTATAAGCTAAAGCACATAGATGTGTTTTTAAAAGTTTTTTAAATGAGAGGAGAGAGGGGTCCATTTCAAATTCCTTAGGGAGGGAGTTCCAGAGGTGGGGAGTGATCACGGAGAATGCCCTCTCTTTCGTTCCCACCAACCATGCTTGTGACTGGAGGGGGTGGGGTGGGGGGCGGGACCGAGAGTAGGGCCTCCTCTGCTGACCACAACACTCGTTTGTATATGATGCGGTTTTTCAAATAGTCTGTTTAGGGCTTTATAGGTAATGACCAGCACTTTGCATTTAGCCCAGAAGCAGATTGGCAGCCAGTGGAGCTGCCGCAACATAGGAGTTGTGCGCTCGCTGTACAGCATTCCAGTTAGTAATCTGGCAGCTGATCGCTGTACCAGTTGTAGCTTCCAAACTATCTTCAAAGGCAGCCCCATATAGAGAGTATTGCAGTAGTCCAGATGGGATGTGACTAAGGCATGGACTACCATGGCCAAGTCAGGTGTCTCAAGGTACGAGTGCCGCTGGCACACAAGTTTTAATTGTACAACTGCACTCCTGACCACCACTTACACCTAGGGTTCCAGAGTCAGCAGAGTCACCAGACTGTGAACCTGTCTTCAGGAGAAGTGTGATGTCCTCCAACACAGGTTGTAACCCCATACCCTGGTCCACCTTCTAACTGACCAATAGTACCTGTTTTGTCTGGATTTCCCCTCAACTTATTAGCTCTCATCTAGTCCATCACTGATGACAGGCACTGGTTTAGGGGCAGGGTGGCATCCTTGGCATTTGGTGGAGAGGAGTAATAGAGTTGGGTGTTGTCCTATAAATCTGCCACTGAATTCCAAAACTCCGGATGATCTCTCCCAGTGGTTTCATGTGAATGTTAAACAGCATGGGGGACAGAATTGAACCCCGAAGGACCCTGCAGGTTACTGGCCAGGAAGTCAAATGGGTTCCCAGCACCACCATCTGGGACCAGCCCTCCAGAAAGGAAGGACAGGAGCCACTGCAGAACAGTGTCCCCAATCCCCATCCCAGAGAGACGGCCCAGAAGGACACCATGGTCAATGGTATTGAAAGCCGCTGAGAGGTTCAGGAGAACCAGCAGGGACACATTCCTGCTATCTAGCTCTCTTGGTAGATCATCCACCAAGGTGACCAAATGTGTCTCTGTTCCATAGCCAGGCCTTAAACCAGACTGAGATGGATCCAGATAATCGGTTTGATTATTTATTTATTTTAAAAAGGTAAAGGTTTTCCCTAAGTCCAGTCGTGGCAAACTCTGGGAGTTGGTGCTCATCTCCATTTCTAAGCCGAAGAGCCGGCGTTGTCGGTAGACACCTCCTAGGTCATGTGGCTGGCATGACTGCATGGAGTGCCGTTACCTTCCCACAGAGTGGTACCTATTGATCTATATCAGTGGTTCTCAACCTGGGGTCCCTAGATGTTTTTGGCCTACAATTCCCAGAAACCCTAACAGCTGGTAAACTGGCTGGGATTTCTGGGAGTTGTAGGCCAAAAACATCTGGAGGCCCAAGGTTGAGAAGCACTGATCTATTTGCATTTTTTCAAACTGCTAGGTTGGCAGGAGCTGGGCTAACAGTGGGAGCTCACACCACTCCCCAGATTCGAACCTACCTTATTTATATCTCACCTTTCTCTACCCCGAGGGAGTTACAATTGCACCTACACGGTGCCTTAAAACATGCAACATCAGTTAAAACATAAGTTTAAAATTATCATCCAAGAATCTTTGGAACTGTGAGGCCACCACCTTCTCTAGAACTTTGCTTAGGAAAGGGAGATCGGATACTGGGCAAGGGTCTAGAGAACAGGTGGTCTTTATCTTAAGGCATGTGCCTGTACTTATTTAGCCCAGGGGTAATGCCCATATCCCATCAGTTACTCATGCAGAGTGCATTCGACATTACTGCACATTATGCAGAGAGCTTGACTGTCCGTCAAATGTCACACATGGCACCCATTCAGTTACGCAACACCACCCCGCTGCAACAAGGTGAAATGAAACGCCTTGACTTTACGATGACTGTACATCGCTTTGGTCCAGAAGCTCAGCCTGTTTTTTTTTTTCTTTTCTCTCCTGACAAGTACAGAAACAAAATACAATAAGCTGACATTCAAAACAAAAGCATGAAACGTAGACACATAAGAGTTCCATTTCCATAGTGTGTTTTCAAAATCCATTTAGATGGCGTCACTATCCATTACTGGAGACCTTGAAAGCCACCAAGGCTGTTCTGTTCTTCGCTGTCAGTGATCTCTCCCTTTGTGCAACTGGCTTGTTTGGTGACTTCCAAGAGTTCAGCAAACATTCTCGTCATTTATAATTGCTTCTCATTTTCCTCCTTCGTGCGGCAAGGTTGTAGTTTGTGCTTCTCACGACTCTTGTCCCAAACTGGCCATCCATAGCTTTGTACATTCCTGTGGGTCATTTTGAATGAACACGTACATTGTGTTGGCTGTTGATTTTTTTTTAAAGCTCTGAACACCTGACAGGCCAGCTCTTCCATTAGCCAGCAGGAAGCATTTGTTTTAGGTGCCAGATTTGGGGCAGAAGTAGGGTGCTGGGAGCAAAATATGGGTCCGGTGTAACTTGTGCAAAATCCATGACCCTATCTGCTATGTTCAGGTGCATCGATAGACACCTTCCCATTCTTAATACTGAAGATTAATTTGCCAGTCTTCATTTGCCAAGTTTTGGGCATAGAAAGGGAGCAGTCAATCCTCTTTATGTCAAGAATCACAACTCTTCTGTGCAGATCCTGTCACCATCAAAATCTGCAAGGAAAATCAAGGCAAAGAAGTTAAAATGCTCAAAATAATTCCTGTAGATTGAGAAGGTATCAAACGCAGTTGAACTAAAACAGGGCTTAAAAGCTTAAAACAATTCTAATGATTGTAAGAAGGGAAATTCACAGAGGGAGAGGTCCCCACTGGGAGTGTCTTGTCCAAAGGGTGGGATCACAATTCCCATCATCCACAACCATGACCCATGCAGCTGTACCTGAGGGGAGTTGGGATTCTTAAAACTTACTTGCTATACATTTCCAGCAGAAAAGAGGAGGCATTGTGGTCTGTGTCCTATCAGGCAAAGGTAAAGGTTTCCCCTGAACTTAAGTCCAGTCATGTCCAACTATGAGGGTTGGTGCTTATCTCAATTTCTAAGCCGGAGAGCCAGCGTTGTCCTTAGACACCTCCCAGGTTATGTGGTCGGCATGACTGCATGGACCACAATTATCTTCCCGCCAGAGCAGTACCTATTGATCTACTCACATTTGCATTTTTTTCAAACTGCTAGCTTGGAAGAAGCTGGGGCTAACAGTGGGAGCTTATGGTGCTCTCTGGATTCGAATCTGTGACCTTTTGGTCAACAAGTTCAGCAGCTCAGTGCTTCAAACCACTGCGCCACCAGGGATTAAAGCGGGCAAATTAATCATGGTGGGCAAGTGGCACGTTGATGGTGTCCCCCAGCATCTCTCTCCCTTATTTTTAATATATATATATATATATTTACTAGCTTGGGTACCCGGCGTTGCCTGGGTTATTTGAAAACATCATATTTTAATGGTACAAATTGCATAAGGTTGTGGGTAAACTACAACTCACATTATGCCAGGTAAACCACGAAAAACTCCATCAGTACTTAAAGTTTGTCATATTGGGCAAGTTTGCTCTAGCTGCATCATCGGTGGGGTTCAGTGTGCTCTCAGGCTGCAGGGTAAATTCCCACTATGGTGAGTCAGTACCCTCAAATCCCTACAGTAGGTTGAGTTAGTCATGGGGATTCTGTGTGCCAAATTAGTTTCAGGTCCATCGTTGGTGGAGTTCAGTGCTCTTAGATTGCAGGTGAACTATACATCCCAGTACCTACAACTCCTCTAAATCTTGGTGAATTCTTCCCAAACCTCTCTAGTTCAATTTCTCTGATCAATTCCTCTGTTTTCTGTGTGCCATAGAAAAGAATAGGAAAGGGTAAAGACAAGGCAGTGGGCAGGGTCATGCAAATTCCGCACCAATTGAGAGAGTAAGAAACACTGGGATGTCCGTGGTGGAGGAAACACATAAAATCTAGGATGCAGTTGTCTCTGTATAAAAGCCTTCACTTGGGTGGTGGGCAGTGTGGTGTTTTTGGAGGACATTGGCAGGGCTCTTGGACATGTTCATGGTGCTCATTGTAACCTGCAATGTCATTGGAAGGAGGGTCATTGGTGTCTCCTGAGCAGTGGGAGCTCTAGCTGTTTGTGGAGGCAGGAGCTGGTCTGTGTAAGTGAACACTCCAGCCAGATACAGATTTTAACTTTTATTATTTGTACAGATCAGTGGTTCTTAACCTGTGGGCCATGGACGAGGACAGAAATCTGTTCCGTGAGCCCCCTTCCTCTTTATTTAATTTCCACTCCTTTCACGTCACCTGCCATTCTTTCCCCGTCGCTGACCATGGCATATGTTCTGTATCAGAAACTAGAGCTGATGTGGTCTATCCAATGCAATTTTCTGAATCAGCATCCTAAACCGAGTCTAAAGTTGACTTAAAACCGATTTGTAACTCTTTTGGTAATAATGTTGGAGAGTGGTCCCTGGTCAAAAAAAGGTTGGGAACCACTGGTATAGATAGATGTTATTTAAGCTGTTCATTGTATTATCTGCACTTAATTTCATCTGGTTCCTATACACATAAGCATCTCATGTCCATGTCCAATGCATATGTTTAAATTTCGTTTGGTTGCACCTTATCCTTTTATATAATCTTTTTCTTAATGTCATTTTATTAAATTTTGCTGTTAAAAACCTTCCATCTCCACCTCCCATCCCCCAGACCACATATCTTCTCTATATCTTTATCCTTAACTACGCGCACAATCTTCTTAGTTTCTGTACAATATTTATAGTGGCTTCACCACTATAATTCATCCATTTATTTTTAATTTATCCTATTTTATCCCCCTGTTTTGTCCCAAATTAATCAGGCTATAATTTCAGATTGGACCTGCTAATAAATGTAGTTATTCCCCAGCTGAGCCAAGGGAAGGGATGGCCAAAGATGGGATGTTGTGTGATAACCGCATGGGACTTTTGTTTAGGAGACAGATCTTGCTTCATGCCTTTCTGGTTCAAGTAAGCAGGCCAAGGAGGCAAGGGAAAACCCGTCATTCGTGGATAGCCTGCAACACAAACCGCAAAACGATTGGATTGGAACGCAGTCTATTTTGTTCCATGGCTTTTCTGCATCATGGTAGCGGGAAAACAATGCAGGTGCAGCCCAGCTGATAAGGCAGTAGAGCCATCTGAAAGCTGGCGGCACAAACAGCCCCTTCTCCAGATTTTAAAGACATGTTTTGACAGTTTGGCAGGGAAGAACGGCTCCCCACGCCCTCAGAAAAATGGTCTCCAGTGCCCATGGTTTTGTGAGCTGCAGTCACTGGCTTTATAATTGGGCCTTATGTTTCAGCCTTTAATGAGCAAAGGACAGACGAAGTGCAAATGCAGTCGTGACTTATTTATTTACATTCCAAAACATGACATCCCACAATCAATCATTTCCCCTACATTTCCTTCCTCACAGTATGCAAATAGGTACATGAGGCACTCTGCGAACACTGGGGAGAAAATCCTCTCTCACATGCATCTAATAAACCTCATGCAATATAAATAGCAAGTATTGCAGAATGTATATAAGCACCATTAGAAAACAAACAAACAAACAAACAATCTGCATAAACACATAATTATGGTCAATAGCAAGGTTACAGTTCATGCATATATCACAAATATTGGGGAGGGGTTCCCTAAAAAATACTGGCTAAAGAGCCAATGCTACTGTGTGTCTGTATGTATGTGTGCATGTATATGTATGTGTGTGTGTGTATTCATTCCAGCTTATTTCAGTCCTTTACAAAAGTCTGCTTCCAGACCTTCTTTCAAAATAAATAAGATTACAGTGAGAATGACACACACACATATTCAAGAGTATGCTTGCTTTGGAACATAATTGCCACTGGGGCTCCTTTTCAAGGTTGAATCGCTAACAGATGAGAAGGAAGGAACGCTGCCGAGCTCAAGCCACCCTTATGCACTCACAAAGTCATTAATACTGTCAACTTTTTGCAAAATAGTAGAGGGATTACAGAAGAGGAACATCACTGACTGTACTTCTGTAATTACATAAGGTGCCAAACGCTAGGGGAGAAAGATGTTGTAATGGAATGATGCTTACCTTATGAACTGGATCGCCTCCAGTTTGACCAAGTGGCCCACTGACTGGCCACAGACTGTGGCTAAACCCATCTGGGACTGAAATAGACTTGCACTTCCTGAAAATATGCTCCCTCTCCCCCCCCCCCCCCCCCCCCCCCCACACACACACAAGATGTTACCAGTCCTCAATTGTTGTCTGCAAGTTAACATTTCTACCTCACACCTTTCCTTCAAGGAGCTCCAAGCAGAGTACAAGGTTTTTTTTCCCTCCCCATCTTATCTTTACCCCAACCCTGAGGGAGGTCATGCTCACAGTCATAGAGTTGGAAGAGACACCAAGGGCCATCCAGTCCTGCCAGGCAGGAAAAGCATTATCAAAGCCCTCCCAACAGATGATCATCCAGCCTCTGATTAAAAGCCTCCAAAGAAGGCACACACAGGCAGGAAGTTCCACTGTTGAACAGTTCTTACAGGCAGGAAGTCAGGTGGAATCTCCTTTCCTGCCATTTGAACCCATGGTTCCATTGAGTCCCAATCTCTAGGGCAGCAGAAAACAAGCCAGCTCCCTCTTCCTTATGAGATCCTTTTGGATATTTAAACATGGCTCTCATGTTTCCTCTCAACCTTCTCTTCTGCAGGCTAAACAGACCCAGCTCTTTAAGCTGTTCCTCAAAGGGAGGAATGATTTCCAGTGAGCTTCATGCCTCAGTCAGGACTTGGACCTGGATTGTCCACAAATTCCCAGACTAGCACAGAACATAGTAAAGATGTGTAACCAAATGCACGCTTATTGCTTCTTTAATACTTCTAAAGCTGACAAAGTTCTCTTTTGGTGATCTCCACTATTTGCTCTCTTTCTCCTTGCTCACGATCTGGCAAGTAGATGGCCACAAGGAGGAGGTGAAGATGGTCTTAAGGCTTTTGGAGTGGGTTCCCCAGTTAGGAGTGGGGCTATGCCAGCATTCAAGGGATGAAAACCCATGGGGCCTGTGGTGGTGACTCAAGCACATCCATTCACCAAACATGCCAACTTCATTCTCCCAAAATGCCATTTTAATTCACCCAATATGCTGGGGCCATGAATGAGGCTCAGAATGAGATATGGCTGCACTTCCAATAGTACACTGACTTAATGAAACACAAGAGTCTTGATATCTTGTGGCTGAACAGTTACAGAAGCACAATGGTGTTGTTTTAAAATCATAGAATCATACAGTTGGAAGAGACCCCAAGGCCCACCCAGTCCAATCCCCTTCTGCCAGGCAGGAACACATAATTAAAGCACTCCCAACAGATGGCCATCCAGCTGAAAACCCCTCAGAGACAGAGACTCCACCGCAGGAAATGCCAATATGACAACTGGGTCCGGTTGACATCCTTATAATCAAAAAAGAGCAGGAAACCAAAGAGGTTTGGAGTAAGTTGTTGCCTGACATCTACTTTCTTGCAAAGAGAGGCTTCTCAATCCAAACACGACAATTTGTCATTCCACTCAAGTTGCACTCAGTCAACTATTAAAGTCATTGTGGTGGTGAACGCCACTTGGTCGCCAAATTGACAGAAACACACATCCAATCAGCACAAATCTACAGTATCAAGACACCACTATTATTCAGAAGATGCAGTCACACCAAGAGGTGTGATTTTCCTGTTGGTCTGCTTTGTTCCATACAGTGCTTTGGAAATGCCACAGTATTTCCCAGCAAAAGAACAGTCTGGAGAAATCATGGAAATCCATTTTTTAAAATATCTCAGGCTCTCTGCCTGCATGCGCTAACTTTTCCAGCTCTCAGCATCGCTCCAAAAGAAAGAGACCTTTGTGGCTCTCCTTGTCAGCCTACCTCCTTTTAAAAACAGGCACTAATCATTATTAAATGCATTCTCATCATCCCTCCCTCTCATTCCATCAACACCACTATTAGAGGGTGGATTTTGTTAAACTTTCCCCTTCTCCATTGTTCTAAAATGGTTCTGCGCACACTCTCAGCAATCTACAAGGATCTACAAAACACTGCATGTCAGACTAATAGGCTGTGACAAGAACCCCTTCCCCCTTAGAGATTGCTCCTTGTTTACTCCTGTAAGTGGTACATTTCTGGTGTGCAAGCCTCAAATGCGGGGCTTGCTAACACTGACTCCACAAGAGTAGATGGAGCTGGAGTGGTTCTGTGAAAAGGCAGGGACCATTCCCATCTATATATACACATTTCAATGTCTTCTGCAACACCAGAGGCATTCCAAGTGGCCAGATACTGGTCAAAGGACATTTAATCAACAACCAAGCTTGCAAACTTTGTGTTTTGTCTGTTTGTTTGTTTTGTTAAAAATGTAATACAAATGTCTGGTTAATCCTGACACGATAAATAAATAAATAAATGTCTTTGGAAAGCTGGCTTGGTACCCAAGGCACTTGGAACACTTTCGGAACATAGGCATTATTGCCAATTTTGTGTACAGGGAGGAGATGACAGTGGTTTTACAAAGGGAGAGCTTTGATGTTTTAAAAAGACATACCAATACAGAACTGAATCAGGTGTATTAGTCACAATCCTATCTTAAATGTAGCACAAACGGGTCAATCAACAAGTTCTGTCTTACGTCTGATATAACAGGTTGTGTTTTTTATTTAATTTTAATTAAGGCATAATTATTTTTTATATGCTGGGTTGTCAATTTTCATTCTTATGGGTGTAATGTTGTGTTTGGGCATTGAATGTTTGCCTTTTATGTTTGAAATCTGGGGAGATAGGGCGGAAGGGCGGAATATAAATAAAGATTATTGTTATTATTATTATTTTGCATTTCTCTATTTCTCAGTCTCTGTTTTGAGAAAATTAAAAAAACAGACTGTGTGCTTTCAAACTAATCTGAAGTTTTGTGTTACTTCTGAAAAGGGAAACTAAAGATGTCCAATGCCATTTGCTCTCGTCACCCAGTTTAGACCCTAATGAGACTACTAGAATCTTTCCTAACTTTCTTAATTATTCACCACATCTATGAATGATGCATTACCAGTTATTCGGAGGCTGTAATATATTTTACTTTTGCAAGGCGCACGCTGCAAAATCATACCCCTCCCCCTTTTTTAGAAAGGCTTTCCTTGGCCACTCCAACCTTGCAATTTGATGGTAAATTAGCACACTTCTCAAATCACTTGAGAAAACTAATGGTCCATTAGCCAGCTCCTATTCAGCAGAAATGACTCTGCTTCCAGCACAAGCCCTATCATCATCTCCTTTGCGAAACAACCAATTCAAAATACAGGGCGCAGCTTTTTAAAAAAAACAAACCCCAAAATGGCACAACATCCTCTAAAACAAGACGGGACCATTCATGCAGCTTTGTGTTGAAAAGGAAGCTGAGATAAATATTCACCAATATACAGAACAACTTTCTGAGATTCATAATGCACAGGACAATGACACAATTCTGCATTCACAAGTTAAGTTAGTCTCCATTGCATATGAAGGGGATAGTGACGCAAATAGCAGAAAGAGTTCAGTCTGCCCACTTTCTTTCTTATTCTGCCTAGAAAACAGCTAAAATCTGATGATAAAACAAGCTAAAACACAATTAAACATGGTTCATAGAATCACAAGGGGCCGCTCTGTCTTTCTTTTCCCCCTCCCCATGGTTGGTTGGTTGTCTGCCTGGCCTTCCGGTTTCCCTTGTTTTAATGTTTTGATTCCTGTACAAAGAAACACTCACTTTTCAGCGAATCTCTTATTCACCATGCTTTTAGAACTTAATGGGAATGTCCTTAATGAAGTACCACTGCCTTCCTTCCTGAAGCCTTCTGTTGGTGCCTCATCTGAGCCACACTCTTCCTTTTCCTCCTGGGAGAAAATACCTTGGCCTTTCACCTTGGTCCTTCCTCATCCGGCAACGTATTTTTTAAGGGTGGAATTCGGATGCCGGATGTGTGCTGCTAAAGAGAGCACCTGGGCATAGGGGAGACAGATTGTGCTTTTAACGCATTGTTTTAAATTGTGCTTTTAATGTATAGTGTTGTAAATGAGTTTAACTCTGTACTCATGTTTATTTTGTCGAACCCTTACTTCAGTTGTTTATAACTTATATTGAGTTATTTGATTTCATGTTCTGCTTTGATTGTTGTTTATGTTTGCCACTTTTGTTATTTCTGTAAACCGCCCTGAGTCCCTCTGGGGAGAGAGGGCGGATTAAAAATAAAAGTTTTATTATTGTATTATTATTATAGATTTTGCCCCCTGTTGAAAAGGATCTCATCATTTTACATAAATGATCATTTTACATAAATGACCTGAATGTCCCTGAACTACACCAATGTGTGCATTCCTTTTAAAAAATCTTAAGTGCTTTCTGAGTGTTCGGATGCATTAAATAAGAATTAACAGAAAAGCTATCACATGCACCACACAATATAACAGAAAGCAGCCCTGTCCCAGCTTTGTTAGAGGGCATATGGCACCCGAGAGCAGCTGGTTTCCGGGGCCAACCCCCCCCCCCCCAAAACACTGGTTTAAATAAAGTTTCTAACATATTATAACACTTCAAAAAAGGTCCCCGACAAAAGAAGAGTATAACAATAATAAATTACTTAATTATACATAAAGTTTGCCATGAGATGCATGCTATAGAAACACAAAATCAACAAAATGGCCATACAGGCTGAGTATCCCTTATCCGGCTTCGGAAATGTGGAATATTCCAAATTCTGAAATTGTCCCCATGGATGGCTGAGTGAAACCTTTGTTTTCTGGTGGTTCAAGGCACACAAACTTTGTTTCATTCACAATATTATTAAAAGGGCATATTTTGTACAAAATGACCGCCAGGCCATTCAGATAAGGTGTCTATGATACATAAATGAATGTTGGGTTTAGACTGAGGTCCCATCTCCAGGAGGTCACATTACGTACATGCAAGTATTCCAAAATCTGAAATACGTCACACTTGTTGTCCCAAGCTTTTTGGATAAGAGACACTCAACCTGCTTATAGTGTAGTATTGAATAAACATCAAACAATGCAATATCCCAGCAAAGCTCAATGGCAGTTACAAATGATGATACATCCACATAACAAATTCTGCTGTACTACTTAGCTATAGCAGTAGATATTTTGCTTCTCATATTTTTTATTCCACGATCCAACCTCTCTCTTGAGCTTCATTAACACATCACTAATATTTTCTTTGGTATGTGACAGAGAGAAGGGGCATTAACTCTCATATAAAAAATTAAGGCTGCTAATGTTCCAGTCTTGGTGACTGCATGTAATACTGAATTGAACCATCTCTAGTGGTTATGACAGTAGCTTATTCATATATGTTATAATTAAATAACAGGAGCCCCCGGTGGCGCAATGGGCTAAACCCTTGTGCCGGCAAGACTGATGGCTGAAAGGTCGGCGGTTCGAATGCGGGGAGTGGGGTGAGCTCCAATCTGTCAGCTCCAGCTTCTCATGCAGGGACATGAGAGAAGCTTCCCACAGGATGGAAACATATCGGGGCATCCCCTGGACAACATCCTTGCAGACGGCCAATTCTCTCACTTGCAGTTTCTCAAGGCGCTTCTGACACTAAATTTTTAAAAAAATAATATCTAAAAGCAGCCCTTTAAAATTGTATGGCCTTCCAGAGAATCCCTAGGCACAACTGTTAGGTCCAAGTACAGCAGACCCATTAAATCAATGGGAACTTGGTAAGGCAACGCTTACGTAAATCCCACTGGTCTAGCTGCATCACTTCAGACTAGAGCTTGGAAATACTTACAAAACAACCAGTTATTTGGCATTATTTCTTGTTTCATCTGCGATTATAGCTACGTACATTACAATTCTGACCTAATGATGGAGAATATCCATCGTGTTAAAGTGTAGCTAGGTTTGAAAGTTACTCTGAGAGTTACAGGGAGACAACCACACTGAGTGATAGAAAAAGAACATCACTTTTGCTCCGTTGTGCACATTGAGGCAGCAAGCAGGCAGATGGAACAAAGTGTGTATTGTTCCATACACCAGCGACTTTGCATCCTTCAAAAGCTTTCACAAAGTCACTAAAAAGCAACATGTTGCATTGCTTTTAAGACATCGAGTTACTTTCAAAAACTGCAACTAAATTTCTGGACCTGGGACTGTATTACTTGTAATATAGCTCTGCTTCAAACTGTGTCTCCGTTAAAAAAAAAGATCCCAACCAATATCCATATTGAAAAGGCAAAAAGAATCTGAGGCCATAGCTCTCCCTTTGCCTTTAAATAATGGCTTTTAGACAAAATAGCCCTTTTCTTAGCAGGGAGAAATAGCCAGTCATCTCATCATGTCTGAAGTGTTACAAGCCTGTTTTATAGAAGAATCCCAGTTTCAAAAGGTCAGGACACTTGATTTCTGGTACTTTGTCCACTCCATAGTTGTTTTGGTTTCCAGGTGTTATATAGACTTCTGGTTTTCTTTTCAAACTTGCTTATATTTGGATGTTGGGCTTTTGGCAGATCGGACAGTCCTGCTTTCAATTGTTCGTTTCAGAACTGAAAATGTTGAAGAGGGGCCCTGCGGCACTGTCGTCAGCAAGGCAGCTCTTGGGGTCCCTGAGGCAATCAGCCATAATCTCTTTGGGTTCTCTTAGAAAGGCCACCAAGACGGTGATGTTGTCGGTGGATCCACTCTCCTTGGCTGCTGCGACCAAGCTCTCGGCGGTCTTGAGGCCATCCCCTTTGCTTTGCATCAAGTGCTCGAGAACGTGGTCCACAACCTCAAAAGGCTGGATGGCATCGAAAAACCCATCGCAAGCCAGAAGCACATAATCTTCAGCCCCTGTCAGCTCAGTGGATGCACCATCTGCACAGCCAGAAATATAAGGCTTTTGGAGCAGGTCACCTATAAAAGGAGAGAATGAGGTTAACAAGCTGGTAGTTACCCCATTCTTTTTGCCAGTGTTCCATACGTTCTTCCCTTTTTAAGGCTTTCCAGACGTCCCTGAACTACATCTCCCATCATTGCTCATCATCGGTTATGCAAACAGGAGGAACAACTCAACTCCTGTCCTGCATTTAGCAGAGGGCTTTCAAAATCACCAGAGGAAGGAGGTGAACTGAGACTCTACAAAGATAGCATTAAAGAACTTCTGCATCTTGATATTACCCAAATCTTGTTTTGTTCTTCAGCATCCTTTGAAATCCCTGCTTTTGCCTGAGCAGGAATCTGCATGCTGTCCTTTACTCAACATTTCTTTTTAAGGTGTAACATTTTAATATCACTACTGCCTGCTCACCATTTGTCTTCTTTGTATTTTATAGTTCAACTGTACTTTTTTTTTTTTGAGTGAGCTGTTCCTGGTACAATTTAAGGCAGGGCTGTCAAACTCATTTTGATTTAGGGACACCTCAGCCTTATGGTTGCCTTCAAAGAGCTCTTGAATACATAGGCACAGAATCCATGAATACAGAGGGCCAACTATTTTTTTTACATAGTAGTTGGTGTTTTTAGTTTTTACCCAGTTTGGCTCCCCAGATGTTATTGAACAGTAACTCCCATTCTTTTTGATTATCTGCCATGCAGGCTGGGGATGGTGAAGATTGCCACCGAGCAGCCTTTGTGGCTTTGAGGTTGGGGAAAGGTTAGATGACATTTTAAAATAAGACATTCTGTCCACAAGCCTTATCTCTAAATCCAAACCCCACTCTGATGAATAAACAGAACAAACCGCCCTTGGACTGCAGAGAAATTATCATTGATCAGGAAGAAGCACTGAGCCAGAACCAGATCCCCAGATCCAGTGGATTATGATTAAAGGAAACCACCCTGTGCCCTGTTTCTTAAGGGGGAATTGTGGTTTACATTAACCATAGTGAAAAATCCCAACTACTGTTTGAGCTTCTGAACTGTCAAAGTGGGAAGTAATAATAAAAAACGATGTATTTAACTACAGTGTTCCAACCGTTTTAGACATTAGATCAAGATACTGGTATCAAAGCAAGTCTTTGCCGCAGGCAACAGTTAGATGCTTTAGATGCTTAGGTGGCTTATTCTTCTGCGTGTTTTTATTCTGCCTCAGCTGATAAATTGCTTACTTTGAGCTTCATTGTGTTTTGGTACATATTGTGAATTGCCTATAAGTAATCCTCTTTATGAAAAGAAAGGAAGGTTAAATACAGAGTTAAGAAATAAACAAAAATCAAAGCATTTTGTACACGGAAGTGAAGGCAAAGCTATAAACTAATCTTTCAAAATAGAAAAACATGGTATTGTCAGTGAACGCCACGAAGACAACGCATTAGCAATGGCTTCTGATGCCAACGCACACACATGCCACCTTGAGTGGCACATCTACAATGTTAAAAGATCATTACAGATGCTTCCAGAAGGAAACTGAAGGAGCTTTATTCTTTCGCATACCATACCAGGTGTGCGTTACTATGGCAATGCACTGTGTAAAGCAATTATTAATGTAGGTGCTGAAATGGCACCAACCGAGTCCAAAGTTAGCAAATGCGGCATTGTCTCTCAATGTGACGAAACACACATGCTTTTGCTCAATTAGTATTCAGCTGGGCCGTTCCAGTCTCATTCTTTCCCACTTTCCGCAAGACATGTTTATGCAACCCCCCCCCCCCTCAAAAAATGGAGAAGTTTCTAATTGTTGAGAATGTGTTCTGAAATAACCCCCTATCCAAAGGAAAACACCCCATTTCAAACTGTGGGAGAATAAACAACCACCTCCCATCACAGTGGTATGCTGGCAGTTTTTAAAAAATGAGCTAAATGTCTTGAATGAATGTTTCTCGTTGAGGTTTCTGTTCTTTTGCTTACCAATAGCTCTAGAAACAGCCAGGGTCCCATTGACGCGCCAGCAGTCCATGTAGGTGACACAGCCTCCTAGAGCTTCAATGCGTTGTCTTTCGTCCTACACAAAAACAAACAAGCCTCGCTAAGTTGCTGCTGGGAAAATGCATAAACCCCCAAGTGTGGTTTCATTTCCTCTCTCGTGAAACCTCCCCATAAAGCTGAAGAAAGTAAGGAGCTTTTCAACAAGTTTACAAGTTTGCAGGGTGCAGTTCACTCACTCCTCCCTGTAGCAAGGCATTGACTAAGCTTGACACGTGTATTTTCTGCGTTGTGTGGAAACTCAGATTCCACATACCTGTAGAAAGGCGATACTGGCAAAGCAACAGTTGAGAAGAATGTGTATGTACAGCTTAAGAAAGTATAGCCCATACACAACCATCTCTTCTCCTCCCTTGACCTTTCAATGGCAAGAGGGGGGTTGACGCTACTTTTCTCTTAGATTTAGCCTCTCTGGCAATGAACTGCCTCCTTGAGTCCCTAGCATAATGAAAAACTGCATCCAGCCTAATACATTTGGCAGTTTTACTCCCTAGGATCAAACTGTTGTAGTCCACAGCTGTCTAGACCAGAGCTTCTTAAAATGTTTCAACTTGCAACTCTTTTTTGGCCAAAGTTAATGTTATATGACCCTAGATATGTAAGCATGTAACTTAAGTATACAAATTTAAATTATTTTGAATATGGGATGGTTAAATCCATGGACATGGAGGACCAACTGTAACACAGCAATAACAATTAGGGCATGCCAAACTTCCAAGTATCGTATATACTTGAGTATAAGCCGGCCCGAATATAAGCCGAGACACCTAATTTTACCACAAAAAACTGGGAAAACGTATTGACTCACGTATAAGTCAAGGGGTGGGAAATGCAGCAGCTACTGGTAAATAAATAAAATTACATTAACTGAGGCATCAATAGGTTAAATGTTTTTGAATATTTACATAAAACTGTAATTTAAGAAAAGACTGACCAACTCTGATTAAACCATTATTCTAACTTCCTTCAATGTAAATGTACTCATGTATCCTTCCAATAATAAGAGTAAAATAATAAATGTAAAATAATAATAGAGTAAAATAAAAATATAATAACAGTAATAAATAGAGAACAATAAATTTAATAAAACTAATAGAGTAAAATAAAAATGCAATCATAACAATAGAGCAGTGGTTCTCAACCTGGGGTCCCCAGATGTTTTTGGCCTTCAACTCCCAGAAATCCTAACAGCTGGTCAACTGGCTGGGATTTCTGGGAGTTGTAGGCCAAAAACATCTGGGGACCCCAGGTTGAGAACCACTGCAATAGAGTAAAATTATGTAAACGTAATAATAACAAATAGTAAAATAATAAATGTAATAAAAATTAAATAATAAAAGAGTAAAATAATAAATAACTTTGATTTGAATATAAGCCGAGGGGGGGCATTTTCAGCCCAAAAAAGGGCTGAAAACTCGGCCTATACACGAGTATATACGGTACATAAAAATCAAACCCTTGAAGTAAAATACAGTAGCTCTCTGTATCTGGTGGTTTGGTTCCAAGGCCCACAGTGGAGACCAAAACCCATGGAGTCTCAAATCCCATGAGATACAAGGGGTTATTAAATCATGTCCCTTATATATGATCTGAAGAGAAACCAGAGTCCCTTATATAAAATGGCAAAGTCAAGATCTGAGATTGATATATTCAAGCTGTGGATGGTTGAATTTCTGGGGAGAAGGAAGGGCAATACATACTTTCCTCTTCCCTGTTCGCCTTTACATGTTGTTGTTCATTCATTCAGTCGTCTCCGACTCTTCGTGACCTCATGGACCAGCCCACGCCAGAGCTCCCTGTCGGCCGTTACCACCCCCAGCTCCTTCAAGGTCAGTCCAGTCACTTCAAGGATGCCATCCATCCATCTTGCCCTTGGTCGGCCCCTCTTCCTTTTTCCTTCCACTTTCCCCAGCATAATTGTCTTCTCTAGGCTTTCCTGTCTCCTCATGATGTGGCCAAAGTACTTCAACTTTGTCTCTAGTATCCTTCCCTCCAGTGAGCAGCCGGGCTTTATTTCTTGGAGGATGGACTGGTTGGATCTTCTCACAGTCCAAGGCACTCTCAGAACTTTCCTCCAACACCACAGCTCAAAAGCATCGATCTTCCTTCGCTCAGCCTTCCCTAAGGTCCAGCTCTCACATCCGTAGGTTACTACAGGGAATACCATGGCTTTGACTAGGCGGATCTTTGTTGCCAGTCTGATGTCTCTACTCTTTACTATTTTATCGAGACTGGACATTGCTCTCCTCCCAAGAAGTAAGCGTCTTCTGATTTCCTGGCCACAGTCTGCATCTGCAGTAATCTTTGCACCTAGAAATACAAAGTCTGTCACGGCCGCCACGGTTTCTCCCTCTATTTTCCAGTTGTCAATCATTCTTGTTGCCATAATCTTGGTTTTTTTGACGTTTAGCTGCAACCAGGCTTTTGCGCTTTCTTCTTTCACCTTGATTAGAAGGCTCCTCAGCTCCTCCTCGCTTTCGGCCATCAGAGTGGTGTCATCTGCATATCTGAGGTTGTTAATGTTTCTTCCAGCAATTTTCACCCCAGCCTTGCATTCATCAAGACCCGCACATCGCATGATGTGTTCTGCATACAAGTTAAAAAGGTTGGGTGAGAGGATGCAGCCTTGCCGTACGCCTTTCCCAATCTTGAACCAGTCTGTTGTTCCGTGGTCAGTTCTGACTGTTGCTCCTTGGTCCTTGTACAGATTCCTCAGGAGAGAGACAAGGTGGCTTGGGATGCCCATCCCACTAAGAACTTGCCACAATTTATTATGATCCACACAGTCAAAGGCTTTAGAATAGTCAATGAAGCAGAAGTAGATGTTTTTCTGAAACTCCCTGCCTTTCTCCATTATCCAGCGGATATTGGCAATCTGGTCTCTCGTTCCTCTGCCTTTTCTAAACCCAGCTTGAACATCTGGCAACTCTCGCTCCATGTATTGCTGGAGTCTTCCTTGCAGGGCTCTTGAGCATTACCTTACTGGCATGAGAAATAAGGGCCACTGTACGGAAGTTTGAGCAGTCTTTCGCATTTCCCTTTTTTGGTATGGGGATATAAGTTGATTTTTTCCAGTCTGATGGCCATTCTTGTGTTTTCCATATTTGCTGGCAAATGGCATGCATCACCTTGACAGCATCATCTTTTAAGCTTTTAAACAGTTCAGCTGGGATCCCGTCATCTCCTGCTGCCTTGTTGTTAGCAATGCTTCTTAAGGCCCATTCAACCTCACTCCTCAGGATGTCTGGTTCTAATTCATTCACCACACCGTCAAAACTATCCTCAATATTATTATCCTTCCTATACAGATCTTTTGTATAGTCTCGCCACCTTCTTGATCTCTTCAGCTTCTGTTAGGTCCCTGCCATCTTTGTTTCTTATCATACCAATTTTTGCCTGAAATTTACCTCCAATGTTTCTAATTTTCTGGAAGAGGTCTCTTGTCCTTCCTATTCTGTTGTCTTCTTCCACTTCCATGCATTGTTTATTTAAAAATAGTTCCTTATCTCTTCTGGCTAACCTCTGGAATTGCGCATTTAACTGGGCATATCTCCCCTTATCCCTGTTTCCTTTTGCTTTCCTCCTTTCTTGGGCTACTTCCAGTGTCTCAGCAGACAACCATTTTGCCTTCTTGGTTTTCTTTTTCTTTTTCGCCTTTACATACCTTTGTCTTTTTTGTGGTTTCTTTTACATTGAATTTGGAAACTAATACTCTTCTGCAAACTAAGGAGGTCCCTCACAGACAAACCAGGAAGTCCCATTTTGTGACCCATGCCGGTCGACCCATACTGTTTTAGAAAATAATCATCAACTCTTCATGGCACTCCATGCAGTCATGCCAGCCACATGACCTTGGAAGTGTCTACGGACAACGCCGGCTCTTTGGCTTAGAAATGGAGATGAGCATCACCCCCCTCCCAGAGTTGGACACAATTAGACTTAATGTCAGGGGAAAACGTTTACCTTCATGGAAACAAATAGACATGAAGTGAAGTTTCAAGGTTACCTCTCTCTCTGGTTTGTGAGGTTCCATTAGGGTTACTGTTTTCCCTTGCTGGACCAACATAACCTGGGAGTCCCCCAGCCAAGCGATATGTAACTTGTTGTCGACAATCAAGGCAGACACACCAGTGCTGCCACTGCGCAGCTTCTGTGGAATTTTTTAAAAAGAGAGGAAAATATGCTTTAAGGAGTCTTTCAAGGATGAAAGGTACTGAGGGGGAGTAAGCTCTCATTACATAAGGAAAAAAGCAAGAGCTATACTGATGTGGAAACAATTGCAGGGAATTCACACTGGTATGGTTCTGTTCTAATGAATACCTGATTGTGGAACAAGTATGGCAGTGATGGCAGAATGGATGTCATGAAAAAGACGACAATGGAAGGAGAATGATGACACTATTCTCCTCAATAACCCTTTTTTGGGGAAACATTTCAGCCAAATGCTAATCCATTAACTTTGGAGCCGTTGGCTTTTTCCTCTATGTCTAAACGTTTGGTTTTATTGTTTCACAGTCTACTATTGGGCTGCAGATTAAGACTGTTTAATTTTGAATAAAAACCAGTTTGCATTCACCCATGTTCAGGAACGATGAATCACACTTTTGGGGAAATGATTTAAATACATTTTTCCTCTTTGGTGGTTTAGGCAACACTGCCATACAATCCAGTTTCTGCATCCAGATTATCGGCTTTGAACAGGATTATATGGCAGTGTAGATTCATATAATCCAGTTCAATGCAGATAATCTGGATTCAGAAACCGGATTATATGGCGGTGTACATCCAGCCTTAGATCAATTTTTATTAATCTATCTAAAGGGATAATTTGTGAAATGCCTGATCCAACTCTATCCTTCTACTGTCTCACCTACTGCGTGCAGCATAAGAGTAACGTGCCTTTCCCCAGCATTTCTAATTTAACCAAATAAGAAAGGACGGCTCAGCTCTAAAAACACCCCCAATTCAGTTTCCCCTCGTTCATGGCCAAGTCCCTGTGACCAGAAGAAGTGAAAGAAATCAGCTAGATAAATATAGATACCCCATATGTTTAAAACTGTTCTGGAAAGACCCAGACGTCAATTAATGCTGACCTAAACACAATTTTTCATCTCCTCCAATTTGTGGACAAGGACTCTTCAACTAAAATCTATTAAGTCAAGAGATACATTATTCATCTGGGATGTTTCACAAGCTAATCAGCATTAAGTAGTTACAGAACAGGCAATTGTCAAGAGAGCACGCTTCTCAGCACTCCCTCCTCCTTTGGCAGGCCAACCATTTGTCACTGCATCATAGGCCTTGCGTCTCCCCACTCACCTCCCTTCTGGCTTTTGAAAGAAACATTTCATCTGTTTTTTCAAATGATTCTCTTAAGGCCTTCCCTGGATTTGTCAGGAAATCCTTGTGGTTTGCCACATTGACATGCAAATGGGTAGCCGCATAGTTAGCAGCATCGATTCCGCCATGGCCATCAAACACAGCAAAGTATGCCCGGTCTATGTTATCCTTTGGATAGTTAAGTCATGTAAAGAGGAGAAAAAAACAAATGCAAAACCAAACATTGCATGGAAATATCTTGTTGGCTTGCAAAGGAGTTGGCAAATACAGTCACAATCTCTGATCAGTTACATTTACAATTCACAACTTGAAGCAAGCCACTCTGGACATTTTAACAAGATATCTACAGAGGAAAGACCCTTCAATATTCAAGAAAGAACCCTTCAAACATTTCCTGGAAGAAGAGAAAATTCCAACATGGGGATTTCATGCTTAAAATGTTAATCTATTATATTATATTGTATACAATAAACTGGATATTACAGATACAACAAAAGAAGGCTATGTAAAAAATTGACAATATATTTCAATTAAAGGTAAAAAAAATGTTTATTTGGAGGTCTGGACTGGCTTCGCATTAATCACACAAATGATAATAATAATAATAATAATAATAATAATAATAATAATAATAATGTGAATTTGGCTCTGACTTTTAAGTGGACATAATGATAGTGATAATAATATTAATTGTTATTATTAAGGTAAAGGTAAAGGTTTCCTGTGACATTAAGACTAGTAGTGTCCGATGCTGGGGGGTGGTGCTCATCTTCATTTCTAAGCTGAAGAGCCAGTGTTGTCCATAGACACCTCCAAGGTCATGTGGCCAGCATGACTGCATGGAGTGCTGTTTTCTTCCCACCAAAGTGGTACCTATTGATCTACTCACATTTGCATGTTTTCAAACTGCTGGGTTGGCAGAAGCTTAAGCTAACAGCGGGAGCTCATACTGCTCCTTGGATTCAAACTGCCAACCTTTTGGTCAGCAAGTTCAGCAGCTCAGCGGTTTAACCCGTTGTGCCACCAGGGGGACCCAATTGTTATTATTAACATTACAAAAAAAGAGCAAGCCACTCTGCTCAATCTGCACAATCTCCAGTAATACAAACCCTTATACTGTAGGTAGGCCTTCCAGCAGCTGTTGGATTGCTTCTCCCATTATTCCTCCTCACAATTGGCTATGCCAGCAAGAGATGATGGGATCTACAGTCCAATAACATTTGCAAGGCCAAATGTACCCCTGCCTTGCCTTATAAGCAGACATTCAGAAATTCAGATTATCAGATCATTACTATGGGGTTTAATATGATGGTTTGATGGTTCATAGGGAGTGCTTTTGCTGACAACAACTTCAGGTGAGCAAGTTAAAAATGAAACACTGCTTAACAAATAGTTGGAAATTGGTTGTCTGCCTATGAACTGTTAAACTGGGACTGCTCATTCAAGCGTGTAGGTCCCACATAAAATTTGCTATTTTAAAACTAACACAGCTAACCAAAAGAGAAATCCACCACTGTTAGGTCTAAATGATTTTTGCTCATTCCTCCAAATAATCTCCAACCCGGATGATAGTGACTATGGGCACAAGATTACCCTCAACTGAGCCCTAGAAATGTACCGTCATGCCAAAAAGCTGGTTAAATTCTGGGAGACAAACGTGTCTGTCCTCCATTTTTCGGCGGCTATTACGAGTCGCGTGGACAGAAATCTGGAGGTAACGTTCAAGGGGCTTCAGGCTTGGCAGCTGCTTCTGCCATTTGACACAAACATCCCAGAGTTTGTTAAAGAAATAGCGCTGCAAAGGGCCTCCATCCAGCACTACCAAAAGACAAAGAAAAGCAAGAGGTTACAGGAAGTAATCATTTGAAGGCACATAATGCATATTTTGTTCCTATCCTCCATACCATTCCTCTCACTCCTTCAGCTGTTTCTAGTGCATTATTATTCTTTTTAAAGGCTTATTTTCAGCCCTTTCATTAAGTATTGATTATGGTTAATAAAAGAAATTATGCTCTAATTGTAAAATACTGAAACAAAGTTGAAGATCATGTTTCTTTTCCTTCATAACAAAACAGAATGGATTTAACAAGAGGATGAAGGAATTAGACTGTAGAATGTGCTCTGTACCTTATGAAAATCCCAAGATCCCCCAGACAAAGCCATTAAATTCTCCTTCAAATTATCATGCCTAGAGGAGGAAGTTGCCCAACACACACAAGATACCATTTGATAGCTAAGTGGTGTTGCATACTGAAATAGTATAATACGCAATGCACTTAGAAAGAAAATAGTATTGTGCAGAGGTTTTACCAGTACAGCTACCCATGGAGCTATTTTCCTGGAAATGGTTGGAACACAGAAGTTGCAGAAGTTACCATGTCAACAGAAAGGCTTGAAAAATAGCCCCTTTCAAGTAGACACCCAAGCAAGAACATATTTAAATGCAAAATTATTAGCAGTGACCATTATATGGACACAGATCCCCAGGTATTAAGTAGTGCACTAAGAAGCTGTGGTGTGATACGAGTGACTTTCCCCCCTTATGGCAAACATGGTTAACCCAGCTTTCCATAGCCATGTAGGGTGACCTAGCACATGATGACAAAAAACACCTTTGCAAATGAAAGACAATAACTTTTAATGTTAGATGCTTTGGATCTCTTTTTAGAGAGATAAAGCAAGGTAGACGATGATAATAATAATGAGGAGGAGAAGAAAACGGCAATGTATTGATTTGGAATATATTCGCTGGAAGGAGAAGGAGAAGCAGGAGCAGCAGGAGGATGAGAAGAAGTAGCCGTAGTAGTATTAATTTGGAATATATTTGTCTGGAAGAAGGAGGAGACACCTACATGTTTTGGGGCAGTATGATTTTAAATCTTGTGAGCTGCTGGAACTCATAGTAAATGTAGTGACTTGTTCTCAAATGTTACATAAAGACATGCAATTTTTGTGATCTCCAGAAGATGGGGACAATTTATTACTCCATGTGTGATTCAGAGGAAAAACAGACCACCTGATCAGAAGGGCTGAATTCTCTCTAGTGTTTGGGCAAGATCATGGGACGGGGCCTTACAATCACAGTCTACATGCCTGCTCTGCAAAGCGCACAGCTTCTCTACTCCTGATTTTGGCCTCACAACAGTCCTGTGAGGGAAAGCTACGTTGAGAGACAATGCCTGTCCCAAAGCCACTAAGTAAATTTCATAGCTTAGCAGGGATCTCAATCTCATGCTGGTGCAATGCTCAAATCATTCTACAAAGCCTGCTATCAACAGAACAGTAAAACAGAACACCTAAAACAATTTACAAACCAAAGTGAAAGCCATCAAATGAGTTTTAGGTAGTCATGTGGCATGACAGAGATGACTCAGTGGGTTAAACCCTTGTGCCAGCAGGACTGAAGACCGACAGGTCAAAGGTTAGAATCCGGGAAGAGCGCAGATGAGCTCCCTCCATCAGCTCCAGCTCTTCATGCAGGGACATGAGAGAAACCTCCCACAAGGATGGTAAAACATCAAAATATCTGGGTGTCCCCTGGGCAATGCCCTTGCAGACAGCCAATTCTCTCATACCAGAAGCAACTTACAGTTTCTCAAGTTGCTCCTGACAGACACACACAAACACACACACACACACAAAACAAAAAACCAGAGATAAAAGCTAAGAGCAGAACAAGATAAAAGCAGACAGCAAGCCAGCCTAGAGAAGTAAAATGTGGAATGAGGGAAGAGAAAAATTGACAAATAACCTTGGTATCTCTGTCAAGTGTTATTGCTCAGAAGCAAGGTTTCATCCTTTGTGCCTTTAATAGACAAGAGTGTTTAGTATAATGTCTGTGGTCCATATGCAGCCCCCCTCTTAAAATAACAATGACACTTCTTCTAGCACAGTGGTTCTCAACCTATGGGTCCCCAGGTATTTTGGCCTACAACTCCCAGAAATCCAGGCAGTTTACCAGCTGTTATGATTTCTGGGATTTGAAGGCCAAAACATCTGGGGATCCACAGATTGAGAACCACTGCTCTAGCACATTTAATTTCTTCCTTCAGCTAATGCAGTAGTTCTCAACCTTCCTAATTACAGTTCCCTTAATACAGTTCCTCATGTTGAGGTGACCCCCAACCATAAAATTCTTTTCGTTGCTACTTCATAACTGTAATTTTGCTACTGTTATGAATCCTAATGTAAATATCTGATATGAAGGATGTATTTTCATTCACTGGGCAAAATTTGGCACAAATACCCAATACTCCCAAATTTGAATACTGGTCGGGTTGGGGGGACGGACCGATTTTGTCATTTGGGAGTTGTAGTTGCTGAGATTTATAGTTCACCTACAATCAAAGAGCATTCTGAACTCCATCAACGATGGAATTGGACCAAACTTGGCACTCCCATGACCAACAGAAAATACTGAAAGGGTTTGGTGGGCACTGACCTTGAGTTCTGGAGTTGTAGTTCACCTAAATCCAGAGAGCACTGTGGACTCAAACAATGATTGATCTGGACCAAACTTGGCACTAATACTCAATATGCCCAAATGTGAATACTGGTGGAGTTTGGGGGAAATAGACTTTGTCATTTGGGAGTTGTAATTGCTAAGATTTATAGTTCATCTACAGTCAAAGAGCATTATGAACCCCACCAACGATAGAATTGGGCCAAACTTCCCACACAGAACTCCCATGACCAACAGAAAATACTGTGTTTCCTCTGACACCCCCTGCGCCCCCCAGGTGTGTTAACCCCAGGTTGAGAAACTCTGAGCTAAGGCCTCACATCCTCATAATCCCCAAAGAGCTGAGAATGACAGTCATTCCCTTTCTGCATGTTATTTAGGTAGAGGTCCTCCTTCCTAACATGCCACTGAATATATGAAATATAAAAAAGGGGAACATCCACCAAAATAGCAGTGAGTCTTTGCTTAGGACCCAGTTATTACCAGCATACTTACAAGGCGATGCCCCGTGGTCTCCAGCTTCCTCTTCTTCAACACTGTGCTTTTGAAATTCATTAAGATCAGCCAGTAGCAGATCACTGATTGCTGCATGAATCAAAGATGCTGCAAGGAGAGGTGGTGCATTCCTGATGAGACAAGGAAGGAAAGCCCTTGAAATGGGAGGCATGAAGAAGGCAAGGCATTGTTTTAGCAGTTCAAGTCAAAAACAAAGAAACTTCTGTTTCATCTCAGTGAAACAAAGCTCCCGAAAAAAACCTTGATTGCAGTTTCTTTTATTGTATAAGAGCTCAACCTTGCATTTTGGACAAAGGCTTCAAAGGGTCTCTAGAAGATTTGCAATTGTTTATGTAAGGCTTAGCTGATATGGTAGTTTCAGCTCATGTGAACACATTGTTCATTTTGTTAAGAAGTGTGTAGCAGCATGTTGAACTCCTCTTCTTTTTTTTTTTTTTGGTGTAGGAACCCCTAGCGCCAATTTTTCAGCTAAAGACGTATTACTCAGGAGTCTACTTCAGTCCAAAAGTGCAGATATAGCTGAGTATTTCAACAAGATATTTTCCAAACTTTGCACAGTATATGTTCTAGAGGCATTCATATGAACACTTTGCTGGCCAATAAAATAAAGTTAGCATTTGGTTTAATAATAATAAAAAACCCTTTATTTATATCCCGTCACCATCTCCCTGAAGGGACTTGGGGCGGCTCACAAAAGCACTCAATAGTGCAAACATATAAATACAGCACGGCAAATAAACAAAATCGCACTACTATAACAGTAAAGTCCACATAAACTAATTACATAAAGCATCGTATAAAACTCCTACATACACACAAAATATCACTCTGTATATACTCCACCACAGACAATCGGAAGAGCTGCAAGACCAAGAACAAGCCATGAGAGGAAAGATCCACCCAGAGGAAAAGTGTTCTTACCATACATCAAAAGAACCACGGGCCACATAGGGAAGCTGATGAAGAAACACAACATACAAACTATCTACAGAACCACTAAGAAAATCCAACAAATGCTACATTCAGCAAAGGACAAGAGGGATCATCTCACCTCTGCAGGAGTCTATTGTATACCATGTAGCTGTGGACAAGTCTACATAGGGACCCCCAAATGCAGCAGCATTGCACAGACACGAATCAAGGAACATGAAAGGCACTGTCGACTAATTCAACCAGAGAAGTTAGACATAGCACAGCACCTGATGAACCTATCTGGACACAGCATATTATTAGAGAACACAGAAATGCTGGACCACTCTAACATCCACCATGTCAGACTACACAGAGAAGCCATTGACATCCAGAAGCGATTTCAGCAGAAAGGAGGAAACCATGAATATGAACAAATCTAGCTACCAGAATAAAAAAAAAAACATTAAAATTAGGACAGTAAATAAAAAGCAGCACTCAAAAAACAGGGGAATTCCAGAGAAGAATCAATCAGGGCCAGCTAACACCTCCCAACAATGGATTCTCCCAGGCAGCAACCAGCTTTGAAGCTGCAAGGCCATTAAATGCTAATCAAGGTGGGTCAATTGCAACAGTCAAACTTGCCTCCAACAGACAAGAGTTCTTTCTCCCACCCTGGACATTATTCAACAGATATATAAACCCCACTTGCCTATTTTCCAACAGACCTCACAACCTCTGAGGATGTCTGCCAAAGATGTGGGTGAAACATAAGGAGAAAATGCATCTGGAATACAACCAGACAGCCCGGAAAACTCACAGCAACTCACTCTGTATTTGGGGGGTGGGTGAAAATACAATGCACAAAAACCACAATTTCTAAAGAAATGCTGTCAGAATATAGGACAGCGCGCAGTAATAATATTAGAAATATCAAATCCCTTTCAGCTATGCTGATTAAAATGTGAATCTATTCTAAGGTTCAAAGCAGTAGTTGTGGCAGCTTATTCTAGAGATTTAAGACAACTTGTTCCACACAGTTTACCCTTGAAAGACTTCAGCTCATTCATGCACATTTCAAGAGAGATGTTCAGTTTGTAGCTCATTCTAAGTATTTCCTGTTATTGTCTTTTCTCCCTCCCCCACAGCTATGTCCCATATCCGAATTGTGATGGCAACAATAGCATCCTTCTTCCTCCCAGAATTTCCTACAGGACACAATTTACATCTCTCAGTGTTGAGTAATGCTTGGCTTCCTTTCAGGAAAACTAAGTGGAAACTAGGTGGACAAAAAGAATCAGAACTAACCAGCTAATTTTAAAACATCACTTTACTCTTCATGGGGTACTTGCGCTGGGTGCAGTACAACAGCAATATTATGATATTCCATCATGAAACATATAGCTGCAGAGGGAAAGGCCTGCCAGTGAACACCACTTTGTTTTACATGGGAGAAACACAGGACACACTGGCACCGAAAAGGGAAACGTACAGACTTCAGAGAACTAAATAAAAGTATGGTGTACAGGAGTTGATTATAAATTGTATGATTTTAACTGTATTTGTGTTTAGATTGGCTGCAGTAATGCTGGAGCGGCCTAAGTCAGAGGAGTCCTCCATGTGCGTTGCCATGGAGACCGATGCAGGAGAGAGAGAAGTGGGAGGAGCTTAGAGGGGAGAGTTTGAAAAAAACGACAGTTAAAAATCAGTTAGGGTTTAGGTTCAGAGGAGTGAGGAGTTAGGGTTTAGGTTCAGAGGAGTTAGGGTTTGGGTTCAGAGGAGTGAGGGTTTAGGTTTAGAGGAGTGAACAGTCAGGAGTTAAGAGTTGAGGGTGAGGAGTTGGTAGAGGAAAGGATTAGGAGGTTGTAGCTGAAAGAGAGTGAATTGTGAAGCAAAGTTTTGAGGCTTTGGAAAGCCAGATTAAGCTACTGGAAGTTTCTTAGGCTAGAGAGGCTGATAAGGGAAACATAGCCAGTATTCTTTTAGTCTAAGGAAAGGCTAAAGAATAATCTTATTAAGTATCTGATCAAGGGAGGATCAGATAAGGGAGACATCCTTGTATTGAAACTTTGTTTTGTAATAAGTGCTTCACCTCAGGAAGATACTGTGTAACCTGAAAGAGTGTAACATTCAACTAACCAAGCATTGTTCTAAGTTCGATAACAAAAGTTACGTCTTGCAACCACACGCTGTGTACTTAATAAAATTGTTAACTTTTATTTGAAGATTGCCTCATCTCCATCTATTCTGTGACCAAAGTGCCATTTCTCACAATATTACAACTTACCTCACGTGGTGGCAGAAACGCAGGGAAAAGTAACCAAATAAATCTACATTCTTCTCTCCAGTCACGCTACAGTATATACAGTGTAATTACTACTAAGTTATTACTTTCTTAATAAAGGAGGAGGTGCAATTGAACAGCCTCCCTTCCAACTTGATGGTAAATTTGGTTCCTAATCGGCAACCTCCATTGCAAATCGGCCAGTTCTTTTTAAAATTGGGAACTGGGGTAAAATCTCCTGAATACTGGTTCCTTTCAAATTGGTGGCAACAATAACTCATCCCTCAGCTCCCTTGCTTCCTTTCATATGGAATTAAAAAGAAAGAGAAAAGCAAGCAAATAACTTGAAATCAATGGAGTAGGGAATACACTCCTACGGCACCAGCAAAGCAAAGATGAACAAAGCAAAGATGAACAGAGGAAATTAATTCACTTGAATCAGCCATGCAAATCAGAGAGCGTATTTGCCAGGGACAGCCAGGAATGTACCTGTCCTTGCCGAAGCCAACCTGTATTGACTACCGGTGAAATAAAACCAGAATTGTAACTTGTAGACTGCTATGCATCAAGGGATATAAATTGCCAACTCTATTTAGACTGTAGAGTGATTTTCCCACTCAAACAAGGCCTTCAAGTCCAATGGTGCCCGTAAGGCATCTTAACTAGATGGTCTTTCCCATGGCTTTCCTTTGAGGCTGTATGTGACATTAGGACTACTGTTGGCAAATTACGCTGTCTGGAGAACACAGTGCTTATTACCATACTCAAAATACGCTCTCTCTCTTTCTCTCCACTCCCTGACATGACCAGGCCAGCCCTCCATAAGTAGAAGCATCTGAAAACAGTGAACACATTGCATAACCCTATTTGCGTTTCCCAAAAAGAAAGCCCCACTGGGTACAAGGAAGCAACCAGATGGATCTTTTCTCTCACACTGTTGATCAAACTGCCTCAGGCAAGTCATCTTTGCAGGGGGGGGGGGGGCGGCTTCTAACGAGATCTTGAAATTATGAAAAAAGGAACTAACACCCAAATCTAATTCAGCCATTGCAGCTTAAGAGACAATTTTACTGAATGGTGCATATTTGTTTTTTTTCTCAGAAAGCATACGAGTCTCAAAAGTGCCATGTTTTGTTGGTCAGACAGGTGTGCCCCTCCCTCCTGAGGAATTCTTGTGGTGAAAGAGGAGCAGGCTTGACAGTTTTGAGTCCTGAGGACTGAAGCATCCCTGAGATACACAGTCTCTCCAGCTAACACTAGCTTCAGGGCAAGTATGTGGAAAATGCAGCTCCTGACATGTTTATTTATTTATTTATTTACAGTTCTTATATTCCGCCCTTCTCACCCCGCAGGGGACTCAGGGCGGATTACAGTCAACACATATATGGCAAACATTCAATGCCAGTTTTGACAAACAACGTTTAACACACAAATACACCAAGGCTATTTAACTTTTTTCTGGCCGCCTGGGGAGCTGCTGCTTTTCATCGTCCATCAGTGACACCGATGAAGTTCTTCCGCATTCCACATTCCCCGCAGTCTTTTTTCTTTATGGCCTCATAAATTAGTTAAATTTAGCCTCCCACACAAGGTGGTGCCTTATTTTCCTACTTGACGGATTCAACTGTCTTTCGGGTTGCAAAGGTCGACAACGGGCTACACAATGGCTGGACACCCACTCCAGCCCGGGCTGGCTTCGAACTCATGACCTTTTGGTCAGAGTGATCTTAATGCAGCTGACACTCAGCCAGCTGCGCCACAATCCCGGTGCTAAGTTAAGTCCTTGCATTTAATAGCACAAGGGAGAGATGGAATAAAAGAGCTGCCTTCTCCCCCAATCGAGTGCCCTCCAGGTATTTTAGTTGGCAACTCCCATTCTACTTGCTGGTGGGCATAGATACCCAAATGTCAGGCTGG